TATTTTGACTGTAATCTTTGAAAATATTAGAAAAAATATTTTCTAATAGGCTCATTTTAGTTGGAAACTAACATATTGTTAGGGTAACACATCTTTTTTTAAAGCTTTAATTTGATTATTTAACAAAAAAATGATGTGCAGATGGTTATGATAGTGTTTGGTTTTTTATATTTTAAACAAGAATCAGTAACTAAAAAAATTGTTAAGAAAATAGCTTTCTCCAAAAATATTCTAACTACACATTTTCCTAGCCCTATTACACTATGGAAGTTAAATAAGGAAGTTAACATTATCTAAACAGTTTTACTTAACTTTAAAAAGTAATTATTTTTTTCTATGTTATTGCTTTGTAACTCCTATTAATATATTATGTCTTTACCAAAAATTCCATTTTTATCATCTAATTACCTTTTAAAGAACAGTATTTATGCTGCCATGTGGGAAATTAATATATAGAAACAAACAAACAAAAAAGCCAATGACCTGAGATACGGAAGAGGTACCAGTAGCTTGGATTAGAAGTGAATAAATAAGAGAGTTTATCTTGGGATAGAATACCCAGGGCTTGCTGATATACTTAAGGCGAGAATGGAGAGGGAAGGAAGAGACAGGGATTCTTATAGTCTTCAAGTTTGAACTGATGTTATTCCAATAAGAGAGACATTTGGTTGGGATTCAAAAGGTAGTGGAGGGCTTGACCAGGAAGCAAATCAAGAGTGCCAAATATAATCATTGGCAACACCTGAGGAGTTACCTATACAAGTGAGGCTGGAGAAGACTTTAACAAATACAATTATCTTATAAATAATATAAATTCTCTAAACTCTGACCTTTACCTCCTAGTTTTTCGATAATTGGACCAACTGATAGCATGAGCTGTGCTGTCACAACAAGAAATCAAGTATATTCTGAAGACTGTGGCTCCAAATTTAATGGAATTTGCCAGAGAGATGTTGTCTAAATAATAAAAGCAAAACCGGATATTTAAATAAAAAAGTGATAGAAGTGTGTATGGATGTTAACAGTGGTTATCCATTTTTTAAAGATAAATTTACTTTGTTTCCATTCAAATATAAATTTTTAAAGTATTTGTATAGAAATAAAACTTCAAAATAATATATATATATATATATATATATATATATATATATATATATATATATATATATATATTGTTTTTAGACTGGAGGCCTGGTACACAAAATTTGTGCATGCTGCGGGATGTGTGTCCTTCAGCCCATCCTGCAGCCTTTCCAATCTGGGACATCCCTCTCACAATCCAGGACTGCTGGCTCCCAACCACTCACTTGCCTGCTTGTCTGATTGCCCCTAACCGCTTCTGCCTGCCAACATGATCACCCCTAACCACTCTTCTGCCAGCCTGATCGATGGCTAACTATTCCCCTGCCAGCCTGATTGTCCCTAACTGCCCTCCCCTGCTGGCCTGGTCTCCCCTAACTGCCATCCCCTGCTGGCTTGATTGCTCCCAATTGCCATCCCCTACAGGCCTGGTCCTCCCCTCCAACTGTCCTCCCCTGTAGGCCTGGTTCCCCCGCCCCCCCCCCCCCCCCCAACTACCTTTCCCTACAGGCCTGATTGCCCCTAACTGCCCTCTCTTACAGGCCTGGTTACTCCCAACTGCCCTTCCTTGTAGACCATCTTGTGGTGGCCATCTTGTGTGTTGGAGTGATGGTCTATTTGCATATTACCTCTTTAATATATAGGATAAGAAAATATACCTTATTGTTTTAATGTCTAAAAAATAATTAAATGTAATCTTTTTCTAATTCTGCATATTCCCCATGTGTGTTCTATTCCCTGGTTTCTAACTCTTTCTGAGCATTTGGTAAAACATAAGACCAGGTACATAGATATAGATATGCCATTTTTTTCTTCATGGTAGGCCTTTACCCCAAGTTGACGGTTTTCAATTTTATCAAAAAGAAATCAAACTTTCAGCTGGTAATAAAGTATTCAGGTGTTGTAAGCATAAGTTGTCTATTTATAGTGACATATAATCTTGTTTGTAGTGTGATTTTAGAATTTATTCTCCTTTAATAAAATTTATTTTAAATATATTGAGAACTGTCTTATTCCCTTAGTTTTCTAACTGAAATTATATAAAAAGTAAAGTTTCTAATTTTTTCTCTTATTTATTCAAAACACATTCATATTACAAAATAAATACCAAAGTATGTGTCCACCTTATAAGTGAGGTAGTTATTTAAGTTCAAGAAGTTGTGTGTAGTTAATTCTAAATCATCAGGAATTTATACCCTATTAACTGTGATTCAAAGAAAAATAAGGATGAGTTACTCTAAATTTCTAAGCAATTAACAAAATTAACTTATAACCATGAACCTACAATAAAAATAAAACCTATATTATGAACCAAATTTAACACATCTACCTGTAAAACCCAATAGTGTCTAAAAATCATCGTTTTTAAATTTTCTTGGTTGCAACATGATGCACAGATGTAATATGCCCATACTTGATTACATGCTGACAGTTGCCATGATTAAAGTCATTTGCTTTTACATAAAGTGCCAGGTAAAAGGAATGATGGGTGGGTTCATAAAAATCTTCTTTGATCATTATCAGAAATTTTCCTTTGCAATGAAGGAATTAAGCTCCATAAAGATATTAAAAAAGGACTTGTTTGTACGTGTTTTCCCTATAACCTAGATACTCCCCTTTTCTCCAGATTCTCTATCACTCTATCACTATGCATGCACTCACATTCCTTCTTGTGAGTACGCACAGATTATAGTTACTTACGTGGGAAATGTAACAAACACAGACTTGCTATGATGATTCAAATGTTCTGCAGGATTGAATTTTATGACACACCAGGCAGGTGTCATAAGACCATCCTATTTCCTCGATCTTACTTGTAAAATTAAATTTTTACAAAAATCTATTGTTTGGTCACTCTTAATGTCATTATTCTAGTTTATGTTCTATAGTCTAAGCTTTATTATTCTAATGTAATTATACCAGTGATTATTTTTTATAGAGTTAGGATCCTTCTTGGTGGATTTTCCCTTGTTTTTAGGATAAAGTCAAAGTTACTATGGTTAGTATCTATAATAATAAAAGCATAATATGCTAATTAGAGAAGACAGCTGAATGACCTTCCGGACATCATTCCAGACATCCTTCCAGATGAAGCTGCGGTAGTGGGAGCTGAGGCAGAGACGGTTAGGGGTGATCAGCAGGCAGGCCAGCAGTTAGGGTCAATCAGTTGGACATCCTTGAAGGGGTCCCATTTTGTAAGATGTTGCAGACTGGGCTGAGGGAACTCCCTACCCCTGTGCACAAATTTTTTTTATAATATTTACACATATAGAGCACTTATATTTCTCTAACTTTTAAACTATAAATATTGGCTGGGCTATTAATATAGATCCATTCAAATTTGTTTTTCATAACCATCATTGCATGTAATTGTTTACTGTTATTTCATTTGCACCTAATAGAAGTTTCCTGACTTGTGCTCATAATAGGCAATTATGTGTCTTGAATTAATAAGGTTTTGCCTGCAATCATTAACTCAATTTAAAAATATATATATATATTTTATTAGTTTTGGAGAGGGAGGGGTAGAAACATTAATGATGAGAATCACTGGTTGGCTGCCTCCTACTGGGGATTGAGTCTGCAACCAAGCATGTGCCCTGACAGGGAATTGAACTGTGACCTCCTGGTTCATAGATTGATGCTCAGCCACTGAATTACATAGGCTGGGCTCATTCAATAGTTTTTAGTTCCTTTTGTCACCTGACCAGTTCCCATGTCCTGCCCTGGTAGAGTCTGGCACCTCCAGACCCTTGACTCATGCAGGAAGAGTAAAAAACAAACAAAACAACAACAACAAAAATATGCGTCTGAATGAGAAAAGCAAGCTTTATTTAGGTAGAAAATGAGTCTAGAACTCGGGTTCCTAGAGACAAGTCAAGGGTTGAGCTATGGTCTTGTTACCCCGGAGTGGATGTAAGCCAATTCATGAGTGAATTGTACACTGTATCAGTCAGTTCTTGGGATTTTATGTGTTTCCAAGGATGGGCTGTTTCTGGACTCTGTCGCACCAAATTCTGACACCGCCTTCTGGTTGAGAGAGGTTCTTGTTTCCAATATGGTCCATTTTGGAAGTTCACCCACCCTACCCTTTCTACTTACAGTGTCAGCTTTCATTTCAATGGTGACATTTTTATTTTTTATTTATTTATTTTAAAATATTGTATATTTTGTTGATTTTTTACAGAGAGGAAGGGAGAGAGAGCTAGAAACGTTGATGAGAGAGAAACATCGACCAGCTGCCTCTTGCACACCCCCTACTGGGGATGTGCCCGCAACCAATGTACATGCCCTTGACTGGAATCGAACCTGGGACCCTTCAGTCTGCAGACCGACGTTCTACCACTGAGCCAAACCGGCTTCGGCAATGGTGACATTTTTAGATTGACTTTGGGGTGATATTGGTTAATAAAATTCTACAGGACTCAGGTATACAATTCTACAGTGCATCATCTGTATTGTATTGTGATTACCATCCCAAAGCAAACCTTCTTCCGTTACCATTCATCCCCCCTTTATCTTCTTCTCTGGTCAATGTTTCCTTCATCTGGGATTGATCTGGTTGTAGCTTTGATTTCTGTGACCACCTCAGGAGCTTTTTCTGACATATACTGTTTCCCTTTGATGCCTGGAGGTGGGGGCTTTGAAGAGATAACCGAGAGGCTTATCCTCCTATGATGCCCCTCCAGCTTCCTCATTTTACTTGTTGGGAGTTTCCCCTAAATTCTTCCTATCCTGCTACAGTTTCACAGCCTCAGAAGTGAAGAATAACTTCAGTCTTTCACTTTATTTTTATTTTTTGTACGCTCACCTGGGGATCTGTTTGCTGATTTGAGAATGAGAGAGAGGAGAGGGAAACATCATTCTATTTCCTCCTGAGTGTGCCCCGACTTGGAATCTAACCTGAAACCTAGGTATCTGTCCTGAGCAGGATCCCACAGCCTTTTGGTGTACAGGACAATGCTCCAACCCATTGAGCTACCCAGCCAGGGCTAGTCTATTCCCAAACTATGGTTATCATTTCCCAGTTTTTTTTTTTCTATATTAAAATCTAGGTTTGCTGCAAATCCACTTGATATCAACAAGTCCCCTTGAACTGTAAACTCCATCAGCATTCACAGAAGCAAATAATCCATTCCCATCAATTTCAAACCTAAAAAGGAATAGCCAAAATCAGTTTGGAAACCACTTATAGTTGTAACAAAAAATAAAATTAAAAATGGAGTGATTTTTCCCAGCTGGTGTTGCTCAATGGTTTAGCATTGACCTATGAACCAGGAGATCACAATTCGATTCCTGGTCAGGACACATGCCCGGGATGCAGGCTAGATTCCCCAGTAGGGGGCATGCAGGAGGCAACAGATCAATGACTCTCTCTGATTATTGATGTTTCTCTCTCTTCCTCTCCCTTCCTCTCTGAAGCAATAAAAAAATACATATTTTTAAGAATACAGTGATTTGAAACACTTTATACCAGACACTAAGCTCTATACTCACCCATCACTGTATGCTACATAAAAATGGGTTACATTAATGTAGGAGTGGATGTATTATTATTAGTGTAATCTGTAACATTATTTAGAATAGGAAGACAGATATTTGTAGACATGGAAAAATCAATGATATAAATATATCTCTATTTCTATTACATTTACCTAAATCTACCTCTATCTACCATCTATCTGTATATCTATCTATCTATCTATCTATCTATCTATCCATCCATCCATCCAATAGTTATTTAAATATCATCTATCAGGAGTCACTAAATCTAGAGGTCTCTGGAATTTCTTTTAAAAGCGGTTTTCTCAGACTCATAGATTCAGAAACCATACTGACAGTTGACAGAGTGGATGGGATTATGGGGCTGGGTGAAAAAAGTGAAGGAATTAAGAAATATTAATTGGTAGTTATAGAACAGTCTTGGAGATGTAAATTATAGCATAGGGAATATAGTCAATAATATTGTAATAACTATATAAGGGATCAGGTGGATACTGGATATATCAGGGGGACCACTCATTAAAGTACATGATTGTCTAACCACTATGCTATACATCTAAAGCTAATACAAGACAATATTGAATATATACTATAATTGAAAAATAATGAATAAATAAATAGCAGCAGCTTCCTGGCATATTTTTAACCAATGTTTCTTTTTGAAAGTGATAAGACTTATACATATATTTGGCACTTTTGAAAAAAACCAAAGATACTAATTATAATGTTGTTCTTATTAATTTGCTCTGCTGATGACAAAAATTATCCCTTTTTTGTGATAAATATAATTTATCTTATCATACACATTTTAATAGTTATTTAATTTTGACTATCATTTAAAGAAATATTAAGGCAGGAATACATGTATGCAAAAGAAAATTAGTACAGTTCTTATAGGTAAAATAGAATATAAGTGAGAAAACAAGATTCACTCAAGAAATGCTTTCATAAATAAATAATGTTGCTTATGATGGACATTTGGAAAGTTAAAGACAACTACGTGGTCTCTGCTTAAAGAAGAAAGATCTTGTATAAATTTAAGTAGTTGGTTGAAATTAGCCAAGTAGTTGAATTTGAATTCTCAATAGGAGGGTTGATTAGCAAGTTTGCCAGTGAAAAAATAAAATAGAAAACAAATAAAATGGAAAATCTCACTGTCATTTAACAAGATAGAAGGAAGATGGGTTGCTCTAGGGTATGTTTCAGTGTGAAAAGGCAGATATCACAACTCAAACCATTGAAGTTTTTGTGCAACCAGAATAAAACCTTTCCTACTAAGTTTGAAACTCACCAAGCATTGAATGTGGCGCCATTTGTCCATTTCCAAGACTCTCCTTGTTTTCTGCTCAACCCAATCCAGTGCTGAGATGTTCCTATGTGCTTCTTCAAAAAGTCCTTTCACAAAAACCAGGGCATAACCCATTTAATCTTTTAGAACACACTGTAAACATGCTTCTCGCCCCAGCCAGAATTTATGATATACATCTTAACTTGCATGCCCTAATGCTTCAACAGCAATTAACAGCACAGATGCTTAGGTTAGTTTTATCAAAAAGATTTTTGCTTTGTTCTTACTTCTTAAATGTCTCTAAGTAATAGAGTGACTTTATCAAGGCACTGAAACTCTCTGATCTGCCCCGACTCTAACTTCTGTTTCAACTTCCAATTCTAACGCATAAACTGTCAATATCTTTTAGTCACAAAGTGAATGACAAAGATGATAAACTGATATGATATGAATGATATGATATGATATATGATATGATATCTTTCTGGATGACAAAATCAGAAGCTAAGCAGTTTTTATAGGAACTAATTCGGCCTTTACTTTAAAGGTGACAGAGAACTAATGCTTATATTTTGTTTTCTGCATAGCTTTGATCTCAAAAGTCATCAAAGAAGGATTTCAGGGGGGAAGGAGTTTAATTGAAAGTATAAGTACTATTAAAATAGTAAAAATTCAGTAATGTGCTTTTTTGACTAAATACCAGAATAAAAATGCCATTGCTGTTGTGTTTTCCCATAGAATCAGAAATCAAACTAACTTCTGAATACCATGCATTGCAATAAAATATACTGAGTGATGAGTTTAGTCCCTCTTCTATGGGTTCCTAACTATTGGACCACAGACTTATTAGTCAGTTTTCTTTATAAACAAACAATTTCCCGCTGTTACACTGAGGCCTGGATTCCAAGTCCCTCTTTCTCTGCCCTTTCACTTATTTCATTAATTGTCTCACTTCCTTCAAACTGTATGGATTTTCTTCACATCCTCACCTCTAAATTTTCATATTCTGTTTGTTTCAAGTTTCCCAGGCTACTATGGAGAGAATGCCATTATAAAGGTATTAAAAACAGTCTATTTAATAATCTAAGAATACTGTAGAAAAACATTAGCTATCTGAACAGTATGTATTGTGACCAAAGACATACAATCACTAGATAATTTGCTTGTGTTCAAATCCAAGTTCAACAAATTACGACTATGACAATGACTGATACATAATATCTCTGTGCTTCATTATCCTCACCTTTAAATGGGGATATGTAAACACTTTGTAGGTATTAGTTGAAGATTGAATGAGGTTTTGTTTTGTTTCATCCTTATTGTTGGAAAGTATTACAGATTTTCCACTTTTTGCCCCCACTGACCCTTTTGACCCCCATCTACTCCCTACCCCAGGCCTTCACCCACCCTACTGTCTGTGCCCCCGGGTTATGCATATATATGCATATAAATTCTTTGGTTAATCTCTTTGCACCCACCCTCCCCTGCCTTCCCTCTGAGATTCTACAGTCTGTCCCATGCTTCTAGGTCTCTGGATCTATTTTGTTCATTAGATTCCACATGTGAGTGAGCTCATGTGATACTTATCTTTCTCTAACTGGCTTCTTTTGCTCAGCATAATACTTTATAGTTTTAATGCTTAAAACATCATCTGACTTACATTATTGAGTATTAATTTTTGTTCTCTTTTTGTACAAGCTTAAACTCTGAAATGATTGAAAACTTTTCCCTTTTCTTACCATTTCTTTCTGTGTATCAATTTGAGCAAGTTCTGATCCCTGTGCACTGCAAAACATTTTACTGCTTGTCCAATTCTTAGTATCTTCAGAAAAATAGAAACACTTATCTTCTACTCCAATCCATTGTCTTGAACAATTTGTAGTATGGGAATGTTTTGACGTTTTTTGAGTGTGTGCTGAAAAAAAAAAAGAGCGAAATTATCAAAAATTTAAAAACGTTAAGTGTTTCTACTTATTCTGGTGAATCAATTTGAGAGATCACCAAAGGACTTGTAAGCATGCATTTAAGCATAACCAATGGACATGGACATGGAGTTGTGGGAGCATGTGCTGAGGGGTGGGAGTGGCTGGGGAGGGGTCAATGGGGGAAAAAGGAGACATATGTAATACTTTAAACAATAAAGACTTAAAAAAAAAACAAAAACTGCCATCTATGGGGTTGGGGGAAGACTAAAAGATGTCAATGGGGAAAAAAGGGGAAAATAAAGATTTAATTAAAATATATGGATATTGTGTTTCAACACTTTTAAAAATTAATCAATTAATCAATGATATAAAGACATCTCATAGAATCTGTTTTCTCCAAATGTTTGAATTGCAGATGTTTAAATTGATGACATTGAACTTCTAGGACTCTATAGTGACAGAGGAGACTGTGAACAAGAAGCGTATCCAGCATTCTTAGAAATGACAAAGGAAACAAGAACCAAGGGTATAAACTATTGTACTTTAAGTGCTAAAATAATCAAAACATGCATAGAGACAGTCAAGCACTGAAGACTATTAGGCCCTACCTCAGGAATAAAAATCTACTTTGTATTCTTTTCACAAAGTAGATCCATAATACCCAGAAGAAAATGAATGTCTTCCTTTTTAAAAATCTACTCAAACAGAGAAAATTTTGCAACATTACTTATGCTATTATTTTGTATTTTTCAACATAATACTATAAAAATATATACATATTTCATAGAACAACTATTTGTAATATTACTTACTCTTGATCCAAAATAAATTAGAGTAAAGATATACTGCAATTATGAAGGAGTGTTGCATGGTGGTCAAAATATTAGGAATTATACGAGAGTCACAATTTTGGCACTGGAATTTATTTCTAAGAATCTACTTATTCCCTCTGGCTTCTATTTCTTTGTATATTAATGGATTTCATAATGATACCTATTGTCAAAATTAAAAATATTAAACAAAATGTATTTCACATTAGTTCTTTAACTCACACAAAGTACTCTCAATTAAAAAAAAAAAAGTTGTTGCTTGCCCAGTGTGATTCAGTTGGTCCCATGTACCAGTTCAATTCCTGGTCAGGGGACATGCTTGGAATGTGGGTTCGATCTGCAGTAGGGGGCATGCAGGAGGCAGCAGATTAATGTATTTCTCTCATTAATGTTTCTATCTCTACCTCTTCTTCTCCCTTCCTCTCTCTCTAAAGTAAATAACAACATATTAATAAAAAAAATAGTTATTGCTGTGGCTGACAGTCATCTGAGAAATTATGATTATTTTACTCTAAGATCAAAAAGTACAATACACTTGAAAAGATGACTGTAAAACCTGCTGAGCTGGTAGGAACATGAGGACAAATCTCTATAAACCAATTTATTATCCCAAACTGAGAGATTCTGAATTAAACTTGAAATATAAAATATATGTATAAAATAAAATGTATATAATAGCTTAAACCTGCTGAGCATAAGTAGCCATAGAAAGTTTATGAATTAAGCCACTTACCTGCAATAAGAGCAACACCTACAATAATAGCAACGACAGCAATAACACATACAAAAATCGTCAACTTGCGAACTGCAAAAAAATAAAATAAAATAAACTTAACATCTATACTAATAAAAGAGTAATATGCTAATTAGACCTGACACCTTCCGGACATTCATCCATATGTCTTTCCGGACAAAGCCATGGTGGCAGGGGCCAAGGCAGAGGCAGTTAGGGGTGATCAGGCCAGCAAGGGAGGGCAGTTAGGGGAGACCAGGTCGGCAGGGGAGATCAGTTAGGGACAATCAGGCCAGCAGGCAGAGGCAGTTAGGGGCGATCAGGCAGGCAGGTGAGTGGTTAGGATCCAGTGATCCCAGATTGCAAGAGGGTACAGGCTGGGCTGAGGGGCCCCTTCTCCCCTACCCCATGCATGAATTTGGTGTTCTGGGCCTCTAGTTTAAAATAAAATTTCCAGAGAAACCCATACTGAATACTTATTATTCATTTATCTGATATAAAACCCTAATATGCAAATTGACTCTACGTTGGAAATACCAGTCGTTATGATGTGCATTGACCACCAGTGGGCAGACGCTCAACATAGGAGCTGCACCCTGGTGGTCAGTAAGCTCCCATAAGGGAAGCACCACTCAGCCAGAAGCCAGGCTCTTGGCTGGCAAGTATAGTGACGATAATAGGAGTCTCTCCTACCTCTGTGGCAGTGCTAAGGATCCCTAGGAGGATGTCTGAGGGGGCCTAAGCTGGCAGTAGGACATCCTCGGAGGGGTTCCAGACTGCGAGAGGGCACAGGCCTGGCTGAGTGACTCCCCTGTGCCCACCCCTCCCCACCCCCAGTACACGAATGTTGTGCACCAGGCCTCTAGCTCTTCCATAATATTCAATCCAGAAGTTCTCATTAAAAGCATCTACCTCTTGGTGTTTTGTCTTGAAGGGTTTCTATTCTAAAAGAGTTTCATTTAAAACCAGTCTTTGTAGGTGACACTCATGATCTCTGCTACTCAAATTGATAGTCCTTGGGCTTGGTAGCAAAGAATAATGCAAAGAGGATATTCAAATAGAATCTACGGATTATTTCTGCTATTACATTTTTTCATTGCTCATAAGCGGATGGCTATTTATGTTAATCAGCTTAACAATAACCCACAACCTTCGGACCAACTCTGATGGCTATTTATGAAAGATCCTGGGAGTCACCGAAAATCACCACGATCCAACTAGAATTATCAAGGTGTTTCATTAACAAGGATCAAATCGATGCCTCGGTAAGGAAGAAACCGATGGACACCACCTCGGGATGATCTTAAAATAAACCTGGATGCCTTTGGGCCTTTTAAAAGTCTCTCGAGCATTTTTAAATAGTGACAAATTTGGGCTTCACAAACGTAATACAAAAAGCATCTCATTCTTATTCAAGAAAGTATCAGGGTCCCAAATAGGACTATGATAAGACAGATGCCTATAACATATATACAAATTTATAAACATCCAACCTTGGAAAGAAAGGAAAGTTATAAGGACATACGACAGAACTTAAGTATAGAATACATTGTTTTCTTTATACTGCAAGCAATAACGGGGGGGAAGAAGTTGAATGTGTCATGGCCGTGCGAGTACATGAAAACACCAAAACATTAATAAACTAAAATGTAAAAGATGATAGATTTTTTTTTCCTTCAAAATACAAAATGCCAAATATCTAATGGGGAAAAAAGAAATAATTGAAATACATATCATAGGTACTGAAATGGTCATGTCAGCGTGGACAGTTACAAACAGAAGAGAAGAAAGCAAACTAAGCCAACACCAGGAAATGGTTTCCCCACTCACCTGGAGGGGAAGCCAGCATCTTGCAGGTGGGAGAACAGCGTTGTGGCCTCCCGAGGGGAACGTGTGTCTCGGGCCGTGTGGCGTGGACCCAGGGAGGAGCCAGCTCTTTCAAGCGCCCCCTCCCCCCCCAATGCTCTTTCATGGGGAGTATGCGCAGTAGAATGCAAAAGAAGGAGCATGCACAGTAGGAGTCAAAATTGTGACCATAAAATGGGGAGTGTACTAACCGGGAAAGTCTAGGAAAGAGATTGGATCATTTGAAAGGAGCTTATTCTTTCTCCTCCCGCCCCCTGCCCCAGAAGGAAGTATGTGGAAGCTTAGCCAGGGCCTTAAGGCAGCCTCTACCCGGTATCCTGCCTGCTCTCTGCCTCTCCGAGTGTGTGTGTGTGTGTGTGTGTGTGTGTGTGTGTGTGTGTGTGTGTGTGTGTGTGTGTTGCGCGCGCGCGCTGTCCTCCGAGTAGTCACCTTTTGATCTAATAAATCTTGCCATTATCACTAAACTCCTTTGTGAATGTCCCTGGAATTTTTGAATTTGAAGAGCCTCAGCCTCCAGGAACAGTAATTAAAACAGAGTAAATCTACCAAACTTTCAAGTGATAGCTAATGCTTATACTATACATCTTGCTCCAGAAAATAGCAAGGAAAAAAAAAAAAAAAAAAAGACATCTGCAAGAGAGGGCATATACTCAATTACTCAGGAATACCTTTATTTACCTTAGCCATATGTGAGCTGTTTCTTCTGATCCTTGGGCTCTGCAGGTTGAGACAGGGGAAGCAATCTTGGTTATAAAATGGGACAACTTATGCCAAAACCGGTTTGGCTCAGTGGATAGAGCATTGGCCTGCGGACCGAAGGGTCCCGGGGTTTGATTCCAGTCAAGGGCACTTACCTTGGTTGCGGGCACATCCCCAGTAGGGGATGTGCAAGAGGTAGCTGATCGATGACTCTCTCTCATGGATGTTTCTAACTCTCTCTCTCCCTTCCTCTCTGTAAAAAATCAATAGAATATATTTAAAAAATAAAATAAAAATAAAATGGGACAACTTCTTTCTTATCTGTAAAGGAATTTTTAAAAAGTATTTATATTGGGATGTAATACACTTACCATGAAATTCACTCCAAAAGTCTTCATCCACAAGCTTGCGCCTTCTCTTGGCAGGTATAACACTCTACAAGTTCTCCTAAATCTCTTATTACTTTATAGAAATGCTTGCTTTAGTAGTTTTCCTCTATAAGTATAAAGTATTGTCAGCATTCTCAAGCTGTCCTGTGTTTTGTTTTTTGTTTTTCACTCACCCAGTGAAACTTATCCGGGGTTCTGGCCTGTACTAACTACATATGAAGAAAGTAGCTTACTCACATATGATTAACTGAATACTAACGGACAAAAATAGTTTTCAAATATGCAATCAGAACGAGTATGAACAAACTCATACTTGTTTTGATCAGAGATAAAAGTTAACTTGTTAGTTTCTGAAAGGGAAAGAAAAAATAGACTCGTTCATAAAAAGAATATCATGAAATCAGAAAAATATTTTTATCCTCAGGCAAGAAAAACATGCTAAGTGGCATTTTGAGTGCTACCCATGGAGAGTAGTACATTGTTATAGGACTCCATGCTATTTCTTGGTATTAGTTCTCATCTTTATAGACAACCTATACACAATCATAATAAATATACATATACCATATTCAGTATGTAATGGTTCAGCATTTATTAACTGTGAGACCTTCAGAAAGTTGCCTAACTTCTGTTGCTCAATTTTCTTTTCTGTAAAATTCAGAGCTGTTTTTCCCTTACAATGGTCAAATGAGATAGTACATGGAAAATGACTAGAATGATGATGCCAGGCATATATGTCAAATTATTCATCTATTATCTATCTATCTATCTATCTATCTATCTATCTATCTATCATCTATCTATCTATCTACCTACCTATCATCTATCTATTGTATATACACACAGAATTAGGGACATTTTTATCACTTTAAAATCTGCTTATGAAATACAGCATACATGTGAGCTAAAATGATGCTTTGCAGATCATTTTGTGTATGAAACTGTATTATGCTTTTTTAAATTTACATGCTTTTTTTAAAAAAAATTAAGTTCTTTATTGTTGAAAGTATTACATATGTCTCCTTTTTCCTCCATTGACCTCTCCCATCCTCTAGCCTAGTACATGCCCTCACCCCCCTACTGTCTGTGTCCACTGGTTATGCTTATATGCATGCATACAAGTCCTTTGGTTGATCTCTTACCTCCCCACACCCCACCCCCTGAAGTTTGATGGTGTGTTAGATGCTTTTATGTCTATTAAAGGATCTATTTTTGTTTATCAGTTTATGTTGTTCAATATATGCCACAAATGAATGAGATCATGGGATATTTATCTTCCTCCCACTGGCTTATTTCGCTTAGTACAATGCTCTTCAGTTCCATTTATGCTGTTGCAAATGGTAAGAGTAGCTTTTTATTTTTATTTTTTTACAGCAGTGTAGTATTCCATTGTGTAGATGTATCACAGTTCTTAATCCACTTATCTATTGAGGAGTACTTAAGCTGCTTCCAAATCTTAGCTATTGTAAATTGTGCTGCTATGGACATAGGTGGGCATATATTTTTTCTGATGGTGTTTCTAAAATTTACATATTTAATTCATTAATTAGTTATATCACTGATACACTTTCATAGTGAATGAGAGTCAGCATTTCTCTCTGGATATGATTACATATGAATAGGCCCAAATCAGTGCACACCTATTGTTTGCTGTGCAGAGCCATCTCTCTATTCATTTCTGTAAAGTTATATGTGGGAATAGTGAACATCACCGTAAAATACTTATATTGTACTAGAGGCCCCATGCATGGATTTGTGCACATTGAGAGGATATTAATTAAAAGGTGGCCAGTGGGGCGGGACTGGGTGAGTAGGCCAGATATGCCCTGGAGCCAATCTCCTGCAGTGCCTTTACCCCCTAACCCCCAAACAGCCACACCTGGGGTGGTGCTGGGCTCAAAGGGCATCTGCTAAGTGAGTGGGGTCCCTCCAGCAGGTGGGGTCTCTTGGCCTGGTCTGTAGGGATCAGGCCAAACTCTGCAGTCCAATATTCCATTCCCTGAGGGGTCCGGGAGTGTGAGAGGGCACTCTGCAAAGTTGTTGTCCCTCAGCAGCTCCTGCATTGAGTGTCTGGCCCCTGGTGGTCAGTGTCATCATAGCTACCAGTCAGACGGTCAAATGGTTGCTTTTGCTTAGGCTTTTATATAGAGAGATTCTTAGGGCCTGGTGGCTTGTCAGAATGTTATGAATTCCTTGGTTACACTTCAAAAATATGGATTATTTGGTCCACTTCAATTTCTGGGGTAACAGCAAGTCGGTGACTCCCCACTCTATCTCCTGGGAAGAAGTCATGGAATGACCAGAAACAAAGATGTTCAGGCTATTTTCTACATTTTAAGCTTCTCAACTAGCATTAATGTAACGCATATATTTAAGTTTCTTCGTACATACATTATTTTTCTATAATAAAAAGTTACTCCCTAACTTTGCTTTTACCCTACCTGATCTGTTCATTTTAAAGATGTTAATGCATTTATGGCTCTTTTGGTTGACTGTGGGTATTTTGCTTTATCATTGGTTAATAATCTGATACAATGCTATCTGGATTGGGCTCATATTACAATAGAAGTACACCGACCTTTTACAATACAAAATATACCAAACGAAATAGTGCATTAATTGATAAGATATCTAAAAGACTGGCAATTTGCTTTGTTTTTTTGCTTTTACTTTTTTTAAAAATTTCTCCAGGTTTAAAAAAATATATATTTTATTGACTTTTCACAGAGAGGAAGAGAGAGGAATAGAGAGTTAGAAACATGGATGAGAGAGAAATATTGATCAACTGCCTCCTGCACACCCCGCACTGGGGATGTGGGCGCAACCAAAGTAAATGCCCTTGACTGGAATTGAACCTGAGACCCTTGAGTCTGCAGGCTGACACTATCCACTGAGCCAAACTGGTTAGGGCTATTTTTTTGCTTTTGAAAAATTTGTTTCAAAAAAATTGTCAATGAAATAAAATGTGTTCAAAATAAAATAAATAAAAATAAAATGAAGACTGAAGTCCTGTTATTCTTTTTAATTTTTCTGATGGTTAATAAAGTAACAATATGCTTATATTATTTTTTTATGTTACATGTTAAATTTCTTATTAATAATTGAGGATGAGTGGAAACACAAGCCCTACTTCTCCTTATCTTTAAAAACAATTGAAGTTCATTTAGTCTTTTACTGTCCAGGTATATTTTGTCTTAATTGTTTTTTGTATGAATTTGAAAAAAAATAGACTCTGCTATTATTAGGTGAAGTGTTTTATAAATATTAGTTAAAATTGGTTGATAATGTTGTTCAATATTCTTGTTTTATAAATTACTATAATTCTATTAATTTCTGAGAGAAGGGGGTTAAAGTGACAAGATATTGTGCTTTTCTTCCTCTTCTTTTAAGTTTTTGTTTCATGTGTTTTACATTTCTCTTATTAAATGCACACACAATTAGGATTGTTTTATCCTCTTAATAAATTGACCCACTTATTATGAAATGAAGCTCTTCATTCACAAATATTCCTTCTTCAGAAATCTGGGAGAAAGAATTGTAAATAGATTTTTTTTGGAAAGAGTTCTTGTCATATTGATATTTTTCAAGGCCCAACAAAGTATATTCTTCCTTTTCCTATCAGCGATCAGAGCCAAAAAGAACAAGTCAGGGAAAAGTTAGCTTTATTACTAAAAACATTTATTTTGAATAATATGATATAAATTTACATAAACATGGGCTTCCCAATTCTTCCCTTCAGAATGAAGCATATTCCCCACCCAGTCACTGGCATCGGTTGACAGTAGCAGAGCCTCTGATAGTGATACAAAGTTAAAAATCCTAATTAATTTATGAATATTTCTCCCATGGACCTCCTTTCCAAATCCTAAATGAGTTACATACTCATTCAAGGCTCGGTGGAACATCAAAGTTCACCTCACATTTCATCTTTTTTTTTTTTTTTTTTTATCTCTTTTAGGCAGAATTAACTGAACTTTGGATAAGTACAGGTATCTTTTCCTCCCTTCTCTCTTCTCTACAATCTGTTTCCCTTAGACATGCTGATTTACCCGTTATGACCAAGACCACCACTCTGCTTATAAGATTAGATGCACCAACATCTGTGGTCCAGTATAAGTTGTAAAAACATATTGCATATATTAATCTCCTGGTTCTTTTACATTTATACTGTGTCTAGTATGTGCTGGGTACTTTTCTGGGTATGTGAGAGAGATTCATGAACAAAGCAGACTGAAGTCCCTGTTCTCATTCTAGAAACATTAACATTTCAAGTTAGTCTCTTATCTTGTTAGAGATGTGTTTTTTAAAAAAATAAAGATAAAAATCATTTTCAACTTTTATTAGTAAACATAAATTACATGTTTGATGGGAAGGAAGTGTATCTATGTGAATTTATAATACATAAAAAAAGCTAGCTTTTCTGAAATTGCCTTAACCCATATACGGGAAAGCTAACGACAAACACCTTTTCTACTGCATATGTATTTTTTTGCATCTTCACAACTGGCACTACTTATGCCCTTCTTAAAAATGAAGGCACAATGTCCACTTCCTTCAATAGTGAACCTGGAACAAAACAGAGAAATGATTTACTAAGCCTCATGAAAAATAACTAGGCACAGCCTAACAGATATAATGTAAACTTTGATGACCATGTTTCAGAATGTGCAACGTGAAACTAATAGAGGGAATAAAATGAGCTGCTTCTATTCTCTTAGTAGTCTTCAAATTTTACCCTGGACCGTGGTTAGGGGAAGAAATGAACACTATAGAGGTTTACTGCCTTAGTAACAAAGACAGTCCTGGAACGTTAGGCTGTTTTATAATATAGTAAACATTGTAAATCATTTTGTTGATTACATTCTTCTCTTTATACTTTCAGATGAGAATTCGCAAATCCATTTACTTAGCTACTTAAAGATTATAGAGAGGGAGAATGTAATTGATATTTCAATGACTGCCACCCTTCACACATTTAAGAAAATTGGTCTGTCTTAAGGCTGAGACATATATTCCTTTGTCCACTCTTTGCAGCCATCGTCATAGTGAAATAGGTATTTTGTATTTGACTATAACAAACATAAAAATTATAAGTAAAATATCTAGGAAGAGTTTATGAGTTCCTATTATATTTTAAGTCATATAAGAACACAGGAAATTAAATGTTCAAAAGAAAAATAAAATGGTAAATCATGAATTTATGGTTATATCATAATTAAAATGCTTTCAGCACTTATTTTTTTTTGGGGGGGGGGAGCTTTGTAGCATCTGGTGTACACTTTCTTAATTTCTAGGGTATCTTCAAAATTTTATCCTGCCTGTTTTAAAGATATATGTGTCTTTCTGTGCCTATACATTCTTCCTGTGCCTATACATTTTATCCTGCCTGTTTTAAAGATATATGTGTCTTTCTGTGCCTATACAACTGAGAACTTACCAACTCTGATGGACTGAATTATGACTTCCCCAAATTTACATATTATAGAACTAACCCCTAGCAGCTCAGAATGTATTTGTATTAGAACATAAAGTGTTTGCCAAGGTGATTATGTTAAAATGATGTCTTTAGGGCAGGCTCTAATCCAATATTACTGATGTTCTTATAAGAAGAAAATTATATACAGATAGGTGTTGGCAGAGGGAAGGCCATGTGAAGACACAGAGGGAAAAGATGGCCATCAACAAACCAGGGAGGGAGGCTTTATAAGAAATCAACCCAGCTGACACTTTGATCTGGTACTTCTAATCTCCAGAACTGTTGTTTTAGGCATCTTGTCTGATATTACAGTAGCCTATGCAAACTAATATACCAACTGTAAGCAACATATAGCTCTTTTACTTCTCCCTCTATTTTAAAATGAACTACATATACTATACTACACGATAACATGTTAAGCTGTCAATATTTTCTCTCAAGAAAATACCTTATTAGGTTTTGTAGTCAGAAAATTTATTGTACTCTTTCTTACATTTTTTAAAGTTGAAAACATAATTACTGACTATATTATTTTCCTCAAATCATTGTGTGTATTTTTGACACAAATTGGATATTAACACAATGGTAACAGGAGAAATTTTTCTAAATTTATGCTATTTTTTTTAATCTAGGAAATATCATAAAACATATTGCTACTCTTTTTATATAGCTAGTAAAAGGTAGCTAGTGATCCCCTCTACGAGAAACTCAATATCCTTCTTATTTCTTTCTCTTCCTTGAAGTTGAAGAAAATCTTTAGAACAAAAATAGAGTTTAAAGGTACAATCAGTTCCTCAAGCTAAGGAGCATAAAAAAGTTCTAAAACTTGAAACAAAAGCCAAGAGGAGCAAATATGTTATATTTCTCACTTATTCTCTTTCATTTCAAGCCACCAATGGATGGAGTAATTGTTGGCTTGAGTGTAATTTCTAAGACTCCCCTGTCAATGAGAGTCTACAGCAACAACAAATGAACAAAAGGCAAAGTTCAAATGAACAAGGTGGGAAGAGGCAAGGATCAAACTACTTATATTTTCATTTAGTCTAGGATAAAAGGAATACTTGTGGCTCGTATGTGCTCTAGTTCAAGTCACCATGTAGAAGTAAATATTGGTATCTGATGCCAAACCCTCACTAAAGACCAAATGCTTGACTGAATGTCTCTCTGGCATCTACTTGTTGAGGCCCTTTTTGGGACATGGTGTGGAGGACCTATGAGGCTAGAATCCTTACCATGCTTAATATTGATACATTTAATAACAAATACATGTTTTTAAGACTTACCTATTGCTTAATGCATCACCATTCGCCCACATCCAGCGTCCACTTGCATTTTGCTTTCTCAGTCCAATCCAATAAGAAGAGGTCCCCAGATGGTAGGTCAAAAAGTCCTTTGACAAGATACAGACTGTTGTAATGAATGTCTCCTCACTTGTTCATTCTCACTATCTTCAGTGCTAATGTCCTTCTTTGACCCCATTATTCTCTTGTTAGGGTTACTGCAACAGCTTTGTAAGATGACACTGTGCTTTTTTTAATATTTGCCATTCGCTAGTCCATCAGAGCAAGGACAATGATTGTTTTTTAAAACTTAAGTCAGATCGTGTCATATTTTTGTTCATAATTCTGCAAATCTCCGTATTTTACTTTACAAAAGTCTACAAGTCCCTAATAACCCATATCCTTTACTCACCCCCTTGTTCTAGGCACACTGACTAGCTGCCCCTTTTCTGTTCCTTGACTATTCTAGGCAAATACACTGAATGGCCAGATTACTATGACCACCTGACATTTGTAGGCAAATTAGCCGTACACTGCATCGTATGGGATCTGGAAGCTGAAGGTCTGTTTGAACACCTTTGCTGTCTGCAGTTACCAAGATAAAAATGTCTCCAATTCTCATAGGAACACAAGGATTGGACAGCCGAGCATTGGAAAAAAGTCATGTGGTCCAATGAATCACGTTTCCAGTTGCATCATGCAGATGGCAGAGTGAGAATTTAGTGGAAACAGCATGAAAGCATGCACCTTACATGCATGAATACAACCCTTCAAGCTGGTGGGGGCAGTGTTATGGTTTGGGGCATGTTTTCCTGGCATGATTTGGGCCCTTTAATTCTTGTGGAACAACGTCTAAATAGTATAACATACCTGAGTGTCATTGCTGATCAAGTTCATCCTAACATGTTGATGGCGTATTCCAATGGAGATGGCTTCTTCCAACAAGACAATGCACCATGCCATGGTGCTCGTATTGTGCAGGAGTGGTTTCAAGAACATGAGGGTGGCCCCCACAATCACCAGATCTCAATCCAATTGAGCATTTATGGGACGAAGTTAAAAAAGCCATCAGCCAGCTGGTTCCACAACCATTAAATCTCACAGAACTGGACAGTGCTATTCATCAGGCATGGGTCAGATTCCTCGCATCACCTTTCAACATCTCATGGAGTCAATGCCAAGAAGAATTGCCTCAGTATTGAAGGCAAAAGGTGGCCCAACGAAGTACTGATGGGGGGTGGTCATAATAATCTGGCCACTCGGTGCATCTATCTTAATGTCTGTGCTCCAGTTGTTTCCTTTTCCAGGGAAGTTTATCCCTCAGGTTCCCTTGACTAACTCCCTCATATACTTTATATCTTTGCTCAAGCGTCATCATCTCAATGAGAGAAGACTATCTTACTTGCAGCCTACCCACTTGGAACATTCACAATAACCACTTAATTTAAAAAATATATATATATATTTGCATAAAATGTACTAACTTCTATTATCTTACATAATTTACACATTTGATATAACTATTTTTTATTCCCTGTCTCTTCCCTTAGGATGTAGGCTCCATAAAGGCAAATATATTTGTTTTGTTGCATCATGTACCATAACTATGCAGTATACTTGTCAGATAGTAGCTCAAAAAATTAAAATGGGATTTATAACGCAAAGGAAAAATCTAACCACTTCATTCTGGGAGGTGAATATGACCAGAGTTCCATAATAGGCCATACAGTTTGCCTGGCCGTCTCTCCAAGTTTTTTCTTGTTCAGATCGAAAGAAGCATTTATTACGCATTTGATTCCAGCCTTGTGGACATGTAATGGCATCCCAAGTGCATGCCCTTTCTTTAAACATCGTTGGATTGTTAACTAAAATTAACACAGTGATAGAGAGAAAAAAATGAATGAAGTCTAAGAAATAGAAAGAATTTAACCTTTAGGGTAAAAGGTTATCATTTATTTAACATTGAAATAATGTATTTTTTCCATATTCAACTCAAATGGTTTAACTTTAAACATCAATTCAAAAAAATTAAAGATAAAAAAAACCCCAAAGTATAAAGAAATCAGGATTGAAGAATTCAGATCTATGCTTAATTTAAGATGGTAATAATAAATAAACAAACTTACAGAAACTCAAACTTTTTAAGCCATGTCCCTCCCAGTTTTTTCATACTACTGCTGTTTTCTCTATTCATCTATCTCTTTTCTGTAGCCTACTATGGCTTCAGGAACATGTCCCACTGTAAATAAACCCATTCTCTCTATTCATAACCAGAGAGGGCTGATTCCCTTTTGCTAACTTAACTGTCAATAGATGTGTTTCAAAAACTACATTTCCCCAGCAGTTGGCATTTTTCTTTATCCTTAAACACAAAACAATGGAGGGGGAAATGTTGAAATTTTACTAGTTTTTTACTCTCCACTTTTTGCTCTCCAACTTACTGCAATTAGATAAATGAAGTTACTTGTTAATGTATAGCCCCGAGAAAAACAAGGTTTACCAAAAGGACACTTCTTACCCGCAGCTGATATAAATTACTGGTTCATAGTCAAACCTATAAATGGGAAGATCTTCAAATGGAGCAATAATCCAGCAGTGTGAAACTGGTATAAAAGCTAAGTGAAACAATCAGATCACCAAAACTGTTTAAAAGTATCAAGTTAAAATGATTCAAAAGCATCAAGTTCCAAAAAACAGCTAGCACAAAAGTGAGTATTTGGTTCAGAACTTGAGTCACCAGAAAACCAAGCTTTCTCATTCATTCATTGATTCATTCATCAACTACAAGTTGAGCTTTTATTATATGCAAGGCACCTTTGTAGCTCTAGAAATACAATAGTGTACATAACACACACACACACACACAAAATGTTTGTTCTAATGGGATTTACATATATAGATAATTATTAGTTGGTCAAAAAATATATCACAGAGAGGAAGATTGGGGTTGTTGGTGGAGAGTTGCAATTTTAATGCAGTTATCAGGATAGGGTTCAATGAGAAGTTATGTACTTAAGACTTGAAGTAAGTAAGCTAGTGAGACATAAGCATGCACAGGGCAAGATCTACTCAACCAAAGATGAAGAGATAAAATATAAAGTGTTTGGCTTATTTACAAAATAGTGAATATGCCTATATGACTTGGGAAAAGGCAAGTAGTGAGAGATGAGATCACAATCAGTAATTGGGTGACTGAATCTGATTGATCCTTATAGGCCATTAGCAGGCTTTTGGCATTATTCCAAGTGAATAAGAAATTTGCAGTACTTTAAACAGATCTGCTTTCTTTAAAAGTTTTGTTAAAAAATATACTCTAAAACTGTACTGTCCAGTATAGTAGCCATTAGCCAGACATATCTGTTGAGCACCTGAAATATGACTAGTTCAAATCTATATGTCCTGTAAGTATAAAATATACACTAAATGTCAAAAACTTAGTACCAAAAGTGAATGTAAAAATCTTATTAATAATTTTATATTGTTACATGGTGTAATGATACTATATTGACTATAATGGGTTAAATAAAAATACAATCAAAGCAATTTTTTATTAGTTTCCTTTTTCCTTTTTAAAATGTGGCTTCTAAAATATAAATGACATTTTTGGCTAACATATTTTCACTGGAAAATTTTGCCCTAGAAGGTTAAGGGTGGAAAAGGGGAGAAGATGTTAACTAGGAACAGGATGGTAAGAGTAGAGGTGGTGAAAAGTACTCAGATTCTGATTATATTTTGAAAGACCAAGCAAATTTGCTGATTATATATGGGTTTGAGAAGAGAAAAAAAAAGAGACAAAACATGATTCTAAGGATTTGTATTTCATAATTGGAAGATAGAGCTGCTATTTCCTGAGATGAGGTAAACTTCAGAGAGAAGAGATGACAGGGGAGAGGTAGATAAACATTTCAGTTTAGACAATGTTAAGTTTGAGATATTTGACAGTCAAGTAGGTAGATTTAAAAAATTTGAACTCAGGGAAGAGACCCAGCTTGGAGATGTGTATTTGGAGGTCATCATGTGACATTTAAAGTAAAAAATTTGGTCCAGATGGCCAAAGATGCAAAGGTAGATAAAGAGGAAAATGACCCTTTTCAGGGATTGACCGTTGGGGCACACCAAATTAAGAGGTCAGGGAGAAAAGAAGGAACAAGCAAAGGAAGTCTGGAAAGAGGGATAAACTAGATAGGAAGCAAGCCATGAGAGAATGGTGTCTTGGAAGCCATATGAACAAGTTATTACCAGGAAGATGGAGTGTTGATTGCTGCAAATAGGTCAAGTAAGAAGAAAATTGAGAATTGACCACTGGATTTAGCAATATGAAAGTTACTAATGAAATTGAAAGACAAGCTGGGTGGAAAAAGAGGAAGTGGGAACCTGATTCAAATAGATATAACAACAAATGGGAAGATAGAAATTAGAAAAAAAACTAGCAGAATTTTTTTCAAGGTGATTACTGTAGAATAGAAAGTAAATATATTGGCAGCTAATGGAAGTCTAATTTTTAAAGGTAAGTTATATACCACCATATTGTATTGCTGATGAGATGTTTTCATAGAACATAAAAAGAAACAAACCAAAACAAAACACCTGATGATATAGGGAAGAGAGAGAAAAAGAGAGAGAGAGAGAGAGAAAGAGAGAGAGAGAGAGAGAGAGAGAGAGAGAGAGAGAGAGAGAGAGAGAGAGAATATGAATTACTAAAGTATTATTACTGATTGGGCTATAGGCTTTAGTGTGGAACATGACTACTTCACTACTTCATCAATAGTACCAGGAGTCTGAACAGATAGAAGTGGAGGCAAGTAAGTAGGTGTGGTCTTGAAAGTTGGTTTTTTTTTTGTTTTTTGTTTTTTACTAATTGTTATAATTTTTGAAGTAAAATTTGAAGCAAAGATATAGATATGAGAGTAAATATGGGGAAAGAGGAATTAATTCAGCACAGATGCTTCTCCCTTCATAAAGCTTTAATTGAATACCAAAAGCAAATTTATAATCTCCTGTTCTGCTTCATATTGGGCACACTTCTATTTTCAATTATTTGTGTTATTACTGTTTGTTAATATGCTTGTTTCTTAGGTATTGATGGATTCCTCTGAGGCCAGAAATCACCCCCCCCCCTTTTTTTTTTCATTTGGTTATCACCACCACCTAGTACTTGCCTGAAGTTCAATAGATATTCATTGAAAGAATGATCATTCTAGAAAGCAAAGCAAATGCCTACATTTGAAGATAAATTAGATGCTTTTTCTGAGAGACCATTTTCTGTTTCAATTGTTCAGTGTAGAATAAGAAAATTATCAATATATTTTTAGCAAAAAAAAAAAAAAATTGTTCACTTACATTTTCTAGGAAAGCCTAGCATTGCCCAAAGAAGAATGGTGAGGCCTGCAAATAGCATGCATGATACAATTAGCATTTTCTTTGTTTCTATACCTAGGGAAAAGACATGTATGTCATTTTTTTTATCTTCTACAGAAAAGCAAGCAAACTAACTTCTTTTTTTCTTTCTTTCTGTTTTCTCTATGTTCTGTTCACAACCCAGTAATCAATATATTAGGACGGTGAGAAAAGGCACAAATGTCTGAATTTTCATCAGCAACAGCCTCAACGTGCATTGGCTCCACTTTTTGATGCCATTTCTGAGAACTATGTTACTCAGTCTTCTGCCCCTTTTACAACACAGATAACCAATATCCTCCTGGGACATTTTAATGAAAAGCTGTCTTTAAAAAAGAAAGAAAGAAAGAAAAAAAGATTCACTTCTCCAAATGCTGTGATGTTGGGAGTATGGGGGTTGTATTTCCTTTTGGGTGCAAACTGAGATCAGGAAAGGATGATAGGAAGATAAAACAAGGCCGACCTCTGTCTCTCCCTTACCTGGTCTCTTGGCCTCCTGCTCCATAGCTTCCGTCACTTCCAGACTCTCAGTCCCTGTTTTCTCCATCTCGTTTGCGCTCCTGGATGAATTCATCTGAGGTCACAGCTGCTGGGATAATCCTGGGGTTGAACTGCAAATTGAGAATTATATGTGGTGAATACTACAGGGAACGGAGACACTAGTATTTCAGGAGGATGGTGTGGCAAAACGCAAGTGGAAATAGCACATCAACCTAGTATCCTCCACTCGGGCCCACGAGGGCAGCGCCTATCAACTGCCATTGCCTCGGATTTTTTTTAAGAGGCTGGGACAGTAACTGCTACCCAGCTAACAACAACCCGCCCCCTTGCCCCAGTGGCTAAGGCTCCACTCCCAGGATTGGCTGGAGGACTCTGAGAATTCAATCTCTGATTGGCTCCTGCTCACTGCTCAAAGCAGGGAATGGAGAGACCCCTATTTTCCTTTTTTTTAATGCTGTTTTGCAGTCTCCCTAAAATCTCAAACCTGAGACAATTTTACAACATACAGATTATTTGTTTGTAAGCTGTGCAGACTCTCCAGCACTACAAAATGGCTCTGCTCTTCGCCCCACGTTTTTTTTTTAAATTATTTTTTAATTTTAAGTATATTTTTAAATTTTATTTATTTATTTATTTTTAAGTATATTTTATTGATTTTTTTTTTTTTTACAGAAAGAAAGGATGAAGGATAGAGAGCCAGAAACATTGATGAGAGAAAAACATCAATCAACTGCCTCCTGCACACCCACTACTGGGGATGTGCCCACAACCAAGGTACATGCTCTTGACTAGAATTGAACCTGGGACTCTTGAGTCCACAGGCCGACGCTCTACCCACTGAGCCAAACTGGCCAGGGCTCATTTTTAAAAATAAAATTTTCTGTTCTTAACTTCTGAGTTCTAAGTTTATCTGTTGATTGCTGAGGGGTACATTTGGGGCAGACAAACCCATTGTTCTTAAATGTTTCCACTGTTCTTGAATGAAGGTTTGTTTCATATACAGGGAGTCCTCATTTTGAGCAGTAAAGCAGGATAATAAAAAATGTGTGAGCTACGACCATGTCATGTTATTTTAATAATCAAAGGGGGGAAACTATGATAGTTCTATGTTTTACCTTAAAAATATTTTTAAATCCTCATCAGAGGATATTTTTCCATTGATTTTTAGAGAGAGGGAAAGAGAGAGAGAAACATTGATGTGAGAGAGACACATGGATTGGTTGCCTCCTGTAGGATCTCTCCTGGCTCCAGGTGAGGAGCCTGCAACCTGGGTACATGCCCCTGACCAGAATCAACCAGGGACTTTTTGGGCCACAGGCCAACACTTTATCAACTGAGCCAAACCAGCTAGGCCTGACCTTTAAAATTTTTGTTGAAACATTAAAAGCTCTCTTATTCTCCCTAAAAAATGTATAGGAAATAGAAAACCAGCACAACTAATAATATATTTTTTAGAACATTGTATGTAGTTTGAAACATTACAAGCATTGAGAATTAAAATGAGAGTCTTAAGCCCTCAATGGTAGCCAACTACTTAGGAAATGTACAGGAACTAACCCTGATGCGAATCAGTTTGAGATGAAGTAGTTCTTGCCTCTCATTCTAGTCTTGATTCCAAAGTGTGGCTGAAATGTATCCCTCTCCAGTTGAGCCAAAACTTCAGTGTGTAAAGTCTGCATGGGTGGCCCCAAACATTCCTCTCCGCAGTTTTGGATTGTGAGAGGGATGTCCACCAGAATTGGGCCTAAACAGGCAGACGAATGTCCCTCGAGGGGTCCCAGATTGGAGAGGGTGCAGGCTGGGCTGAGGGACAACTCCCCCCCCCCACCCCGCCCCTTGCACTGGACCTCTAGTACACATATAAACATACATTAAATATACATATACCTTATTTTACACCTAAATTATGGATTAAATGTTTGTATATCCCAAAATACATGTGTTGAGCCTCTTCCTCCTAATGTGATAGTATTAGGAAATGAGCACTTGGCTAAGTAATTAGGTTTAGATGAAGTAATGACAGTAGAGCCCCCATAATGTGTGTGTGTGTGTGTGTGTGTGTGTGTGTGTGTGTATTTGCAAAACAAGAGAAAATTGAAGCTCTAAATAATAATTGGGACTCTGATCCAGACATAAATTTGTCTTTCTTACTTTCAATGCATCTGAGAGCACCATTAACTATTAATCTTGGGTTAATGGTGCTTTCAGTGGGGGCGGGGGGTGGTAAGGCCAGAGGGTGGGGTGGGAACTGGGTGGAGGGGAGCTGAAGAGGAAAGAGGAACAACTGTAATAATCTGAACAAGAAAGATTTATTAGTAAAAAAATAAAAAGAAAAATATGTAATCTATACTAATAATAGAGGTATATGCTAATTGTTTGGGATGCCATCACAGTAATGGTAACAACCAACAGGCTGCCGGGGGTTACAAGGTTGGCAGGGGGATTAGTGAGCGACCACCGAATGACTGAACAGCAGACTATATTGGGCGACCAGGTTGACAGGAGGGTTAGTGAGGGACAATCAAATGACAGAGCAGCAGGCTGCATGGGGTGACCAGGCCTTCAGAATGGGCAGTTAATGGTGACCAAGCCAACAGGCTGGCAGGGAGGGGGGGGAGGGGGACATGGCAGTTAGAGGTAATTAGGCAGGCAGGCAGGTGAGAAGTCCTGGATTGTGAGAGGGATATCTAACTACAGTCAGATATCTTCCAAGGGGTCCCAAATTGGAGATGGTACAGGTTGTGCTGAGGGGACCCCACCTCCTGTCATGAATTTTGTGCACTGGGCCTCTAGTCTATATATATATGCCTAAATGACCATTACAGAAGAACAACAGGAAGCTATGATGTGCACTGAGCAGGCAAGTAGGTGAGTGGTTAGGGGTGAGAGGTCCCAGACTGTGAGAGGGATGTCCAACTGCTAGATGTCCGGTTGCAGGGATTGGGCCTAAACAGGCAGTTGGGATGAGGTAGTTCTTGCCTCTCATTCTAGTCTTGATTCCAAAGTGTGACCAAAATGTATCCCTCTCCCCTGAGGGGTCCTAGATTATGAGAGGGTGCAGGCCAGGTCCAGTATGAATTTTATGCACTGGGCCTCTAGTATAACCTAATAATAGAGTGATATGCAAATTAACCATCACTCTGCTATACCAGCCATGCCCACCAGCCAATCAGAGAGAGTATGCAAATTAACCACCATCTTTGTTGGGTTAATTTGCATACACAGAGGAAGGGAGGGAGGAGTGAAGACTGAAGACAGCATAGAAGAAAGAGGGAGGGAAAGTGGAAAGAAGGTGGCTTCAGCTGCTGGAGGAAAAGCACTGGCAGCATGGGCGGGGCGGGGCGAGGTGCATGGTGGCGCCAGGAGGCAGTGGGGGAGGCGGGCATGGCAGATCAGGTGGGCGGGGCAGGGTGGGGCACGCAGCAGTGGTATGCACAGCCCCAGAGGTGGCAGCAGTGGGCTCAGCCTAGGAGGCAGCGACAGCAACAGCCAGCACAGAGGGTCGGGCATGCAGAGCAAAGTGCACTGCAGTGGTGGCAGCATGTGTGGTTGCCGAGATGGTGGCGGAGGTGTCCATGGGCATGGTGGGGCAGGCAGGATGGGCGGGGTGCACCCCACCTGTCCTGCCCACCCCGCCCTGCCTGCCACAGCGGGAGAGGTGGGGGGGTGGGAGAGGTGGGGCTGGCGGAAGGGAAGCCAGCCAGAAGTCTTGCAGGAATATTCCTGCAACAGGTGCCTAGTATATATTACAAACACATATAAATATATTATAAATATATATAAATATGTATAATTTTGTTCATTTTGCCATGGGATTCTACTTTATTATATTTTACCATATAAACAAACTTAGCTCTTCTATTGTCAATTGTATGAATCTTGAATGGCTTTATTCATCTTGTTTCTAAAGGTCTTTCTCACTTAAAGATAATAATTTCAAAAAATACACCAGTGCATATTTTCTTCTAAAATGTTAATGTTTTCATTTATATATATATATATATAAATATATGATCCACAAGGAAAATAGAAGGGCTAGTCTATTCCCACCACAAGAGGCTTTAAAAAAAAATAGGAGGCATTATGGCCTGTGGAGGTCTCAACTCTACTACTTGTCATTTGTGTGATGTTGGATAAAGACAATCTCTTTTTTGTTTTATTTATTTTCACTTTAAAATATATTTTTATTGATTTCAGAGAGGAAAGGAGAGGGAGAGAGAGATAGAAACATAAATGATGAGAGAGAATCATTGGTCAGCTGCCTCCTGCACACTTCCTACTGGGGACCCAAGGCATGTGCCCTTGACCGGAATTGAACCCGGGACCTTTCAGTCCACTGGCCGACATTCTATCCACTGAGCCAAATTGGCTAAGGCATAACCTCTTTTTAATTTTAATTTTATTTTATTGATTTGAGAGAGAGAGGAAGGAGAGGGATAGAGAGATAGAAACATCAGTGGTGAGAGAGAATCACTTATTGGTCATCTATTGCATGCCCCTCATTGGAAACAGAGCCCACTACCAGGTCTGAGAGTCAAACCTATGACCTCTTGCTCCTTAGGTCTACACTCAACCGAGTCACAAGACCTAGGCGGGACATGACCTCTTAATAGCTCACTTCCGCATTTGTAAAATAAGGGCGATGATAAAAGTATTAGAGCTGTAAAGATAAAACTAGCGTTAGTTAAGTGCTTAGGATGAGATAATCACATGTTTTGCATATTCTTTCTTTTAAATGTTGCTGGCAAGATGTTCACTCTCATATTTTTAGATAAATTTTGATAGCATTTTTCAAGTATCTGGAGGAAAATTTGTTAGTACTTTAAGTTGACATTGCTTGTTTAGATACATTAAGGAGAAGTGACTTTTTTTTTTATTACAATATCGATACTTGCAATCCAAAAGAATGTTTTCCTATTTTTTAATTTTTTTGTTCAAGACTTTTAAAGTTTTCTTCATTTTGGTTGTGCATATTTCTAATTATTTTGTATCTATGATTTTTATTATTTAGTATCTCTTGTGAAAGGGACCTATTACTGGATTTAATCTTACTGTTGATTCCAACATTTAATAAAGCAGCAGTTAATGTTTTCATTACGTACTTTAAAAAATCTTTACATATTCTCTTTAGTAAAAAACAAACAAACAGAATATCAATCCATTTTATGGTATTTATGGGGGGGCAATACCAATACAAAATTACAGGTAACATTTACTAATGAAATTAGAAAGAATTTACTCAAAAACAATCGTTCTACAACCCCACTTCCACTTTACATACTTGATTAAGAAATGAATGAGTCTCTGCCCCCTGAGAATGCTGTGTCACTCTTACCAGACTCCTGCTTGCATAACCCTGGAGACTCATTTCCCTCATCCTTTTGGTAGCTTCCCTGAAATCTGGCTTGAATTGACTGAGCCATCTGCAGAAAGATAGCAAGGCTGAGCTCAGCTTTTCTGGTCTGCCAAACCATTTTTAGAACCTTTGGTATACCAGCATTGACCATCAGCATGCAGGCTCCCTAACATGGTCCCTGAGCCTCAGGTCACCTTAGTATATTTCTTGTATTTTCTAGGGAAACTGGGTATTCTGTCTCATCTTGGCTAATCTATACCCTACAACCTTATGGTGTATGGGACAATGCTTCCACCCGCCACCTGGCCACAAGCTGCCAAGGTAGAGCTTACACTCTCCCTTTCTCTGGGCATGCCCTTTGTGTCTTTGCTGTCTCCTGGCTGTGACAAACCGTCTCTGTCAGAACCTTTGCCATGACACGCGCAGAGAATCTATTTTTGTGGAGCAGCGAGTGTTTGAGAATTGTGCCCTCTTTGTTATTTCTCTGCTTGAAAGTTTGTGTCCAATAAATTCAATGTCTGCATCATGTTGCCCTAGTGACCTATAACCCCTTAAACAACACTAGTAATACCCAGACACAAATTTGAAAATTACTCTGTAGTTGGTAGACATAGAGAAATAAGAAAAAGGAAAAGATAAGAGGAAGAATGTCTGGAAAGTCTTTATTGCACAAATTCTCTGTTCTTGTCTGAGGCCAGAGTAGGGTTGCAGCTCATTTGTAAACTTGTTGGAGCTTCATACAGAGCTTTAAAAGCAGAAGTTTAAGCTTTAGTTTGTAAACTGAATTAAAAATCACAACTCCAGTTTAACATTAAACTGTAAGTTTAACCTTCATCTTTTGTGTTTTTTTTGTTTGTTTTTTGTTTTGTTTTGTTTTGTTTGTTTGTTTTCATCAAGCTTTCTTTTCATAGCTCTCCATGTCTGAAGGAGTTACTTATACAGACCTAAAATTCCAGGACTCCAGTGAGATGAAAAATATTCAGGAGTTTGACCAAGATGCTGTGAAAGGTAAGATTCTGCGCTATGGATGTATTGTAAGGGCTTTACCAGGACATGTTAGGAAAGAAAAAATATGCAAAATTAATGAATCAATTAAGATGTATACCGTTTCCAGGCTTTTTTGCTAATTTTGCTTTCCACAGCACCTCCTGCTTCTTCCCATGTGTGGCATCAAAGAGCCTTGGCTCTGATTCTTCTGTGCCTTCTGCTGCTGATTGGACTGGGAGTGTTAGGAAGCATATGTATGTATTATCCTAGTTTTCTTTGTGTGTGTGTGTTTTTTTTTAAAAAAAATTTCACCCAAGTATGTGTTCATTGAGAGAGAGCAACTAAGAGAGAGAGAGAGAGAGAGAGAGAGAGAGAGAGAGAGAGAGAGAGAGAGAGGAGGAATATCATCAACATGAAAAAGAAACATTGATAAGTTGCATCTAGTATGCCCTACCCCCCACCCAACTCCCCACAACCTTTCGGTTTGATGGGACAATGCTTCAACCCAGCTATCTGGCCAGGGCCTCACTCATGTTTTGATTGAATGGAAGGGCACTTAGAATTCCATGAGTTTTACAAGGAAGTTCACTTTTTGAATTGAGGCTTTGGAATGTGTAATTAAGTCCTTACAGTATTGTATTTCATCTCTTTCCCTCACTTTTGTGAAATGAATGCTTCCCTAGACCTTCACTATTCTTAATATTTCAGCAAAAAGGAAGTGATGGGTGTATTGAGGAATTAATACTTTTTATCATTTCTTTATTTTTTTAAATGGAGTTAACCTAACTTTGAAAATAGAAATGGAAAAACTGGAAAAGCTACAAAATTTCAAAGACATACTTCAGAGTAATGTTTCTCTACAACTCAAGAAGATCAAGAATCTCTCTAGCACACTGCAAGAAATGGCCACCAAATTATGTTATGAGCTATATAAAAAAGAACCAGGTAATCCTATATTCCTTGTCTGAGTTACTTATTATACAATGAACTAATCCTAGGAGTCACTTCAGAATCAGTCTTTCTTTAGGAAGACATTATTTGGGGGAAGGAATTAAATCTGGTTGACAGAGTACTTAATATTTCTATTTAGTTAAAGGAAAAACAGAAAAAGTAATAATAACATAGAACCAAAAATTGCAGGGATGACAGCAACTTAATGAAACATGAAGCAATATTCTCTAATCTGACATTCATTAGTTTTTTTCTGGGTAATCAATCAATAGAAGATTGAGAGAAAAGTATATCTTTTTTATAGGTGACTTGGTTCCTAAATTTCAGAGAATTTTTAATAAGAGTCAGGAGAAAATAAAGGTAGGCCTTGCCCTTGTAACATTTTCTGTAACTATTAGAAATAAAATATGTTCTTTGTGCCCTTGCAAAGTTTCCCAAATATTCAACAAGTCAGAGCTAGAAATGGTCTCTTTGAAGAAGGCAGGGATGATGTAGGTTTGTGGGCTTGATTCTCACTACCCAATGTTTCATAGGATTAGCCTTTATTAAAATATCAAAAGTGACAGAGAAAATTTAATTAATTAATTATTATCACTGGCTCCTGATGTAGGAAAATGTACTGGAAGGTAAATGTTTAATTTGAAATGTGTTGTTAAAATTATGTTTTAGACACATTGTGGTAGTATAGAGGGGCCTACAACACAAGATTCGTTTTAGTCACCTTTAAAAAAAAAAATATATATATATATATAAAATTGATTTTTTTTTTTTTTACAGAGAGGAAGGGAGGAGGATAGAGAGTTAGAAATATTGATGAGACAGAGACATCTATCAGCTGCCTCCTGAACACCTCCTACTGGTGATGTACCCGCAACCAAGGTACATGCCCTTGATCAGAATCAAACCTGGGACCTTCAGTCCTCAAGCTGATGCTCTATCCACTGAGCCAAAGTGGTTAGGGCCATTTTCTTCACCTTTAATATACAAAGAAAAAAGACAAGTAAATTTAGTTAATTTAACACAGAGGACAATGGGAATAATGAGACTAATGAAGATTATCAAGCACACCAAGTGGAACTACATTCTTTTCCCAGAGCACAAATGTAAACCTTGTCCAGAGGAATGGATGTGGCATGAGGACAGCTGTTATAGAGAATTTGAAAAGTATGAGACTTGGCAACAGAGTGACTTCACATGTTCTACTCACAATGCCAGCCTGCTGAAGATTAAGAACAAAAGTGTATTGGTAAGGTCCGATGGGTCTCTGCTTGTGAGGAGGGAAATCATTTTTCCCAAGGTAGAATAAGTAGGAGTGAGGCATGTTGGGGAAGATCTGTATCAATCCTGACACAATTTTGGCTTATTCTAGTTGGAGTATGACGTGACTGAGACTTGGCATATTTATCTCAGGTAGCCAAGGTAAAGCATATAAAACGTTAGCTTAGGACGCTAGCATTAGTCTGTCTGGGCAAATGAATAGATATGGAGAATGAATAGATATGGGGCACCCAGAATCAGGTCTATAAGCATTTCCAACGTTTAGGATCATCCTTTAGGACACGATTTATGAGCATTTATAAAAAAACAGAAGATCTGGAAATTATTCCTGAGGTTTACCAATTCCAAAAGATGTACAAAGGAGAAGATTCTTCATTTCCACCATTTTGTATCTTTTTTAACTAAGAGAGAAAGCCAAAATATACTAGAATAAGAAGATAGTTGGGATAAAATATGTATTAAAAAGCAGAATTAAGATGGGATGACGAAGGCAAGTGCCAAGCAAATATATTGTAGAGTTCCTGGGTCTCAGAAAAAGTAAGTTCTCTGGAAATTGTTTATATATTTATTTTTTTCAAATATATAAATAGTATCTCCATATTTTAATTATTACTCAGCATTTCTGGTCTCTCAGATGGTAATCACATATTTACTTTTCAAGGCAACAGTTCATTTTCCCCATAGTCTCAGCTTCCCTACTGAAACATCTTCCTCATCTTTCATAAAAGAGAGGGAAATCAATCTACAACTCTTCTTCATGTGTTTTTCCTCAAATGATCTATTAGTAGTATTTATTTTAAAAATGTTACTTTGGCTACAAAACTGCTTTTAAGTTTTTCTGTTCTATAACCACTCTTATCTGACTTTGCTACATTTTATCCTATTCTTTCTATTTCTTTTAACATATGTTTATAGCCACCTCTTTGCCCCTAGACTGAATATTTACTGCTTAATATTTGAATCCTGAAGTATGTGAACTTCATTGACTCTAAATTAAGGTTATGAATGGATTGGTAGGTCCTTCTTTGAGTGAGACATTTACTGATGTATAAATGCTGGAAGAACTCTTATAGTAAAAAACACTACCTCAAATTTTTTTTAATAACAATGAAAAATAGTAGTATTTAATGTTAAAAATGTTACCTTAAGAGAGTTATTTGCAAGAAATTATGTTGTGAGATAATATACAGAAATGGAAGATAATTATTTTAACAATCATCTCTATTTCCTGTAGAAGTTTATAAAGTCCAAGAATTTCTATAGCATTTGGTTAGGATTATCTCCCATAGAAGATTACAAATCTGAAAAAGAGTTGGATGCAACAATTATCTCCTCTGACTGGTAAGTCTTTAGTCACATTGATGTTTCTGATTGATTTGAGTAAAGGATTTTTCTGTGGGAGCATTGTAGGTTACAATTAAAACTGGCTTCAATTGAAATTGCATCTGTAAAGCATTATTTTCCATAAGGCTTCCTTAATGCATCTAATAATGCAAGAAGTTGCCACAAATGTCTCTCCATTATGTTGACAAATTACTAACAAACGTATGGTAGCTAAATAAGGGAGAATTTCTGTGAATAGTGTTTTCATCTAAGAGAACAATAGAAGCCAACAAAATTCAATGGACTCTAACATTAACTTAAAATGACACTAAGTTCTGTGATTCACAGATGAGTGAAAGATGGATTCTGCCCTTAGTTTCTTAACCATTAGTTGCATGATTAGACTAGTTTTAAAAATCTACAGATAAAAAGAATAGAAAGTGAAAATGCTTCAGTCAGAATAACAAAACATAAACTTTAGCTTTCAAATTCGTTTTATAAACTGACATTTGAAATGGCCACCTTGAATGAAAATTCTAGAGATAAATTAGAAGAGAATTTTTGGTAAAGAGAATAAAATGAACTTGGGCATGGTATATTGCATATATGCTATATATAAACTATTTCATTGTGTATATAATAAAGAGGTAATATGCAAATTGACCATCACACAAGTTGGCCACTCCCATGTGGTCAAAGATGGCCACCCTTATGTGGACACAAGATGGCTGCCAGAGGATGGCTAGCAGGGGAGGGTAGTTGTGGGCAACCAGGCCTTCAGGGAAAGGCAGTTAGAGGCCAGCAGGGGAGCAGTTAGATGTTGATCAGGCTGGCAGGGGCGTTGTTAGGGGGTGATCAGGGCGTTGTTAGGGGCAATCAGGAAGGCAGGCAGGCAGGCAAGCAGTTGGAAGCCAGCAGTCCTGGAATGTGAGAGGGATGTCCCACTGCCTGTTTAGACCTGATCCCACCAACATCCCTCAAGGGGTCCCATATTGGAGAAGGTGCAGGCTAAGCTGAGGGACACCCCCCCCCCCCCACACACACACACACAAATTTTGTGCACTGGGCCTTCAGTGTAATTATAAATGGGTTAATATATTGTATTTGTTCAGCTTGTAATGAAGAAAAAAGCAAGACTTACATAAAAGTAATGTCAAAATTTTATTGGTAGTATATAATCCTTTTAATTTCAGAAGTACACAAAATTGGACTAAAGAAAGAAACCTAGTCTTAACCTGTTGTATACTATTGTTAACCCATGAATTTACACATACCTGTTTGTTGAGGTCACATCAAGCTGGAGTGAACTCAGGGTGACTGTGTTGAGGTGTTGCCACACTGAGTCTAAACTCTGAGATTCCTGCATATTCACTACCTTGGGCTAGACAGTAAATAGAATCTTTGGCTGCTTTTTGTTTTGGTTGTTTTTTCCTTTAGACAAAAAAATAGTAGGTGTAGGAATATGAGTGAAAAAAACAAGGTATTTCTAGCTTTGGCAGTTTGCAATTACAGGATAGAGTAGAGGATAAGATAAGTACAGATATATTTAAGGAGAAAAGGATATATCTCTTAAAGATCTCTTTTGGAGTGAAGGACTAGGGGTAGAGGTAATGTGTGTATCAAGGGAGAGTATAAATGAGGTCTTTTTTTGGAAAAAGTAGAATTTCCATGTGTTTGCAATTTTTGCTAATCCTATCTAATAAATCGGGAATATGCTAATTGACCCACATGCCATTACAAAAATGGCAATGCCCACAGCCAATAGGGAAGGAATATGCTAATTGACCGTCCCACCCTCAAAGATAGTGGCGTCCACCGCCATAAGATGGTGGTTCCCAGTTCCCTAAGCCTTGCCACACTTCTGCCTCCAGTATCCCCCAGTCCTCTTAGCCCCCAGTTGCCCAGGGCCAGCCTGAGGCACAGGCAAGCCTCAGATGGCAGCTGCCCAGCCACCCAGGGCCACCCAAGGCTCAGATAACTAGGGCCGTCCAAGGTTTGCTCTACTGGCAGTGGCAGCAGCAGAGGTGTGATGGGGGCATCGCCTTCCCCTGATCGCCGGGTCACCTCCCGCCCCTGAGGGCTCCCAGACCGTGAGAGGGGGCAGGCTGGGCTGAGGGATTCCCCCTCTAGTGAGTGAATTTTCATGCACCAGGCCTCTAGTGGGAAGATAATCTATAATGGGCTGGAAACATAATAGATTCTTTCTAATTATAAAATAAATAATACTGAAATAAAAATTATGTAATAATATATGTATATAAAATACATTATATTTATATATAATACATAAGTACATGTGTTGCATATATAATTCCCCCTTTGAACTTTTTTTCTGGAAAAGGGTGTGATCAATGACATCAGTATATCACCTCAAATAGAAATTTTTACTTTTGAATATTTAATTGATGAACTTATTTATTGATTAATGATCATTATCAGCTCAAGTATTAATACTACTTTTTTTCAAAAGATAATATTTTCAATTTATAAATTTATGTTAATGCATAATCCCTGACCAATAATTTTATATTAGGGGCTTATAATAATTCAGAACTTCATATATATGTCTCTAAAAAAAACACCTAGAGGGAGAGAAGGGGGTCTTAACATATAGTTACAGGAAAAAAATTAGACTTTGTGTGGTGGACACATGGTACAATATCTATAAAATCAAAGCATAATATGCAAATCAACCAAACAACTGAACAGCAAAACAACCATCCTTACAACCTTCTGGACGACACGCACTGGCACCAGGCCAGCCAAGGCAGGTGCAATGCAATTGGTCTGGGGCTTTGCCATTGTCCCACAATCATCCCACATATGGAGGCCCAGGCCATCCTCTGTGGGGCAGTGGATAAGGGGGCGCCATGATTGATCATCCCAAAGAGGGAGGCCTAGACTACTCCGCCAGCGGCACTATAGTGGATGGGTGGGGCCTCCTTCTATGGGGTGATCAATCTGGGGGCCCCACAATCAATTGCCCCATAGAGGGAGGCCCAGGACAGTCAAGTGATCACACCTCATGCCTGTCACCCTCAGAGGGAGGCAACTGGTGGTGATGGATGGGGGAAGGGACTGCATGGCACAGATGGCAAGTAGTGGCAGCGGTAAGGGCAGGGCCAGCTGCTAGCAGTTGGGGGAAGGAAAGCCCTGATAGGGCCTCATTTCTGGCCAGGCCTCGGGACCCCACCTGAAGGGTCCCAGATTGTGAGAGGGCACAGGCTGGGATGAGGGACAACTCCCCACCATGCATGAATTTTGTGCACTTGGCCTCTAGTATGTTAATATGACCAATGTAACATCAATAAATCTAACTTTAAAAAAAGAACTTTTAAAAATGGACAAAAACTTAATAAAATGTGGTATACTGTCTTTATCATGAAAATAAAATTTAAAAAAAACTAGAGGGATATATCACTTGGGGATAATGTTGAGCTTAAGGAATTATATTAGGTTAATTATTGGCTTTGGTAATTATGAAAAGTATTTGAAGAGGACAGTGTTAAAGATTTACTACTGAGCCAGTTAGACTAGAAAATCTAATGGAATTGCATTATTCCAAATCATATTGGGTATTAGGGAATGGAGATGCTATGTCTAAAAGATCAGTAAATATCCTTGATATGAGAAAGAGAACAAGGCAGAGAAAAATAAGGCAGTGTATGACATTGTATATATATGTCAATAAAAATGAGTAACCTGAATGCTATAAATAATAATTAAAACTTACTTTAGATGATGCAGAGCCTAGGAGCAATGATATACTGGAAAAGCAATTTCTGTGTTTGTGAATATGTTTCAAATGTTTGACCAGTCTAGTGTAATTCATTATTTTATTTTTCAGGTTTACAAGAAACACAAGTGACTTAAATGGTAGAAAATATTGTGGATATATATATGAACCATATGTTTATTATGATTTCTGCACTAACAAAAGAAAAGGTATATGTGAGAAGTTAGCGAATCCAGTGAAGATTGAGAGCATGCTAATGAATGAAGAACAAGATGGAAGAATGTTGTTAGTGTAGTTTGCCTGAGCAATTTTAAGGTACATACATCTTGTGGACCTCACAAGTGGAATAAAGATGATGTGAAACTAAATTTCTGCCTCTCTCCTAATAATTTACATTTTCAAATTTCCTCTTTCTCCTCATTTTCTAAGTTAAAAAACAAACAAACAACCTTTGTCATGCCTAACGTCAAACCATATGAAGCATTAATACAGTATCTTGAGTGAGAACACTGAAAACGAAAATAATTTTTTAATCTTGTTTAACGTAAACAAGATAAATACCAATCTCATGGAGAATCAGAGAAAATTGAATCTAAGACTATACAGGAGGGTAATAAATCATGACCAATTGAGATTTATTCTAGTAATACAGATTGATTTCCATTTTGAGAAAGAAAGAAAGAAAGAAAGAAAGAAAGAAAGAAAGAAAGAAAGAAAGAAAGAGGGAGGGAGAAAGGGAGAAAGGAAGGAAGGGAGAAAGGAAGAAAGGAAATAAAGTTGCTTGTCCTGCCTATAGGGTGTCATCCAGGACTGTTATCCATGAACTTAGAGAATTATTTGGTCAACTTAAGAAACCTTATAACACCTCATGCCTAACCAGGGGATACACATTCTAACATAGAGGTAGGAAGAGTGGGCAATTGACCATAGAATCCACTTGTCATATCACAAACTAAAGCAACATAAAGCTGGAGATTGAGCAATGGAAAGAACTCAGGGCTGTTTGAAAGCACATATGTAAGCCAGATCAGAATTAATAATTATAACACTAGAGGCTCAGTGCACAAAATTCGTGCACTGGTTTGGGGGGGATCAACTCAGCCCAGCCTTCCCCCACTCATATACTGGGAGCCCTCAGGGGATGTCCTACTGACAGCTTAGGCCCACTCCCCATGGGGAGAGGGCCCAAGCCACAGTCTTGTCTCCCTTTATGGGAGGCAACCAGGCTGATCAAGGGAAGGCACCATCCCCATCACCCTGCTGCTGCAGCCTCTGCCAGTAACCATAGTAACCAAGGTGTTTTCATCAACACAGACTCCAGTCCCTTCACTAAGAAAAAAATTACGACTTTCTTTAGGCATTTTCAAGATGTATCTTTTATAGGATATGCATTTATTTTTTTATTTTTTTAGCCTCACCTGAGGATATGTTCCCATTGACTTTAGAGAATGTGGAAGAGATAGGGAAAGACAGAGAGAAACATCAAAGTGAGAGGAACACTTTGATTGGTTGCCTTCTGCATGAGCCCTGACCTGGGCTCTGGCCAGGGAGGAGCCTACAACCTAGGTACATGCCTTGGATCAGAATCAAACCCAGACCCTGCTGTTGGCAGGCTGAGGCCTTATCCATTGAGTCAAACCTAGGGCAGGGCAAGATATGACGTTTCTTAGTCCTCCAGCAGCGGACCTTCATTATCTTCTCCAGAAATGTAGTGGAAAAACCCTAGATCACCTTTTTGGATTCTTATTACCCAAGTTACTAAGAATATTACCAGTGGCATGAGGTTTTGTTTCTTCCCGCCCGGGCAATCCAGCGTCAGAGTCAACATTCCGTCCTCTGTGCATAATGTGCGCCACTCTGGGGGCTCTGCTTTTCGCCCCTCCCCTGGGATTCCGCCTCACATACCCATCTCCCCCTGCCCAAGCCTGGGTCCCCAGGGTCTGGCCCATAACTAGGGCTCAGTGCTGCTGGTTAGGGGGTTTAGCCCAGGCCGGGGTTCTATTTCCTTCCTGCTAGGGAACACCAGGCAGGCACCCAGCCTTCTCCTCCTCTCCGGCTGCGTCCTCTCCGCGCGTGCGTGCTTGCGAGCAGCATGTCTCCATACCTTAGGATTTTTCAGCTCCTCTGATTTTCCTTCTGGTTTTCTCTTTCCTTCTTGTTGTAGAATTTTCAGTCAGTCGACTACCTGTAGCTCTGGGCAATGTCCACTCTACATTTTAGTTGTATTCCATTGAAATTGTTGTGTGCTGCTGCAATTAGGTGTCTACCTGAGCAGCCATCTTCCGTTTCCATCTACCTGCCAGTCTTCCCAGCTGACATTCTTATGGGAGCTCCTTTGTAGGTAACTAACTGCTTTTCTCTCACAGTTTTTAATATTCTCTCTTTGTCTTTAACTTTTTACATTATAATTATGATGTGCCTTGTTGTGGGCCTCTTTGGGATCATCTTGTTTGTAACTCTGTGCTTCCTAGACTTGTATATCTATTTCTTCACAAGTCTAGGAAAGTTTTCTGTCTTATTTTTTTCCTAAATAGTTTTTCAATTTCTTGCTCTCTCTCTCCTCTTCTTCTGGCACCCCCATGATGTGAATGTTGGTAGGCTTGAAGTTTTCCCAGAGCCTGCTTACACTATCTTTATTCTTTTGCATTCTTTTTCTTTTTGCTGTTCTGTGTGGGTGTTTTTTGTTTTCATATATTACAAATCACTGATTTTATTCTTGGCTTATCTTCTCTACTGTTGATTCCCTGTAAATTATTCTTATTTCAGTTAGTATATCCTTCATCTCTGACTGGTTCTTTTTTATACTATTGAAGTCTTCACTAAGTTCATTGAGCATCCTTATAACCAGTGTCAAGAACTCTGCAACTAGCTGAAACCAGTTTGGCTCAGTGGTAGAGCGTCGACTGTGGACTGAAAGGTCCCAGGTTCAATTCTGGTCAAGGGCGTGTACATTGGTTGCCGGCACATCCCGGGTAGGAGTGTGCAAGAGGCAGCTGGTCGATATTTCTCTCTCATCAACATTTCTAACTCTCTCTCCCTCTCCCTTCCTCTCTGTAAAAAATCAATAAAATGTAAAAAAAAAAAAAAAAAAAGAACTCTGCATCTAGTAGATTGCTTGCCTCCATTTTATTTATTTCTTTTTTTAAAGTTTTATTCTGTTCTTTCATTTGGAACATGTTTCTTTGTCTCTTCATTTAAAAGGGCACAGAGCCAATCCCGTCTTTCCCTTTCCTCAAACTTGGACTTCCTCAAACTTGGACTTCTACTTGTAGTTTTGGAAGCCATCTTAAGTCACATTGTTTCTACTGGCTGGAAATATCTTACCTTCTTTCCCATTCCTTACCTATCCAGATCCTACCTATATTTCAAGTCCTGCATCCTCTAACAATGTCTCCCAGGATACTTCCAGGATCTATTTATTTAATTTTCCCCATTTCTCTGAACCTCTTCAGTTCAATCTAATGATCATATAAGTATGTCCTAACTTCAAGTCCTCATTCAGTTATTGTGAGGAATATCTTGGCTGTGGAGGTCCCCCCCCCTAATGAGTGAGAGGTTCCAGTCCTTTACCAGGTCCCCAGCCCAGAGTTCCAGTACCATGATGGGAAGGGCCCATAACATCTGGCTGTAAAATCCAGCAAGCGTTAAGGCTGAGGCTCCTAGAGTCCTAAGCATTTCCTCTTAAAGGGCCTGCTCATGGACTCACTCGGATTCACTCCCTCTGAGCTCCAGCAGGGAAATACACCAGAGACATTTGGGGGAAAATTGAACTGTTTGGCATCAGAGCAAGAGCTGGAGGGGCAGCATTTTCCCAGAAATAACTGCTGGCAGAAGCCATTGTTCCTTTAATAAATAAATAAATATATATATACTTCAGAGAGGAAGAGAGAGGGAGAGGAGAGTAGTAACTTACTTTTAAGAGAGTATGCAGCCTGACTGGGACTTGAACCATTACCTCCTGGTTCATAGGTTGAAACTCAGCCACTGAGCCACACCAGCCAGGCACCATTATTCCTTTGATTAGCACTCTTCCCATAGAGCCAGCAGAAGGCACCATATCAAAGTCTCCATCAACCTGACTCACACTTTTTCCCCCATCCTGGTGAGTCCTTGAGGCCCTGCTCCACCCAACCTGTTTCTAGTGGATTTCCCATATGAATGGCCTTTCTTGGCTCATGCTTCAGATTTTGCTAAAATCTCTCAAGCAGCATCTAGCTATATAGTAAGCACCATACCTCTCACCAAATGGCCCCAGGTCCAGCACTAGCAGCAGCCAGCCTTGATTCACAGTTTGATCTTGGTTGGGCACCTCCAAATTCATCACAAAAAGCAGCCATCTATCAATCACATTATAGCTTAAGAAGGGTAACATTGGACAGTGCTGGAACTGAAACCTAACATTGTCACTGGTAATAAAATGTAAAAAGAGCTAGCCAGGCTTGATGGCTCTGAATGGTCAGAGCTATTAACTCATTGACTCTAAGTTGAGTCACTGGAGGTAAAATGTATAAAGAGCTGGCTAACCAAAACCAAACATTTGTTCCCTGATAGTAAAATGTAAAAAGAGCTAGCCAACCTTGATGGCTCTGAATGGTCGGAGCTATTAACTCATTGTCTAGTTGAGAAAACTTTAATGTTAATCATATGTAAATTATTGTTGATTTTCTATTGTTGGAACTTCCCCCCTAAGAGATATCTTTGTCTCAGAATCTCAATAAAAGGAATGGTAAAAAGCCAGAGCAGGGGTTAGTCTTCCCACTAGAGGTTGACTTCCTGCCTGGCCCCCATTTTTCCAAATTAACTCTTTTCCAGTCTTTCTTCATTTTAGTGTGCGGCCTTCTCCAGAAACTGGACCCTGAGTGGGCCCTGAACCACGTGGGTCGTGTTAAGGGATCCCACAGGACAGAGTACAGATGGTGGCTGACCTTGACCTACACCTCCCAGGAGGCTCCAGAGCTGCACAGCCAGTGGATACCTTCAGACCATGTTGAAACACCACCACCTACAAAAATGACACACTCAAGGGATGGACTCAGTGGGTACCAGAGCCCTACTGAAGTACTCTGGAAAATACGGTAATTATTCCTTTGTGTGAAGGGTCCCTGCACAACTGTTTCTCCATGATGTTGGAGGTCAGTGGTCAGTGGTCACAGAGAGTCCTTGCAACTTATCAGCCTAGGTATATTTCTCATACCGGTGTTCCAATAGCAATCAAGATTCAATTATAACAAAAAGGTGTACAGCCCACATGGGGGAGGGCACACCTCAAGTACCCAGCTTGAGTTATTAGTGAGACCATGCCACTGGACCTTACTACATTAGGTCATACTACCAAGCCTGGGTTATGTAATAGCTCTACCTAATACATAGAAATAAACACAGGGAGTCTGCAAAAATTTTTTTTCTGGATTGGTTTAATTTTAGTTAGTGCTATGTTTATAAATTAGCCAGAGTGGATATAGCTAGTGATGGAGTTCTAATTAGGATTTCAGGTTTAAAAAAATAAATCATTGGTAGAGAAACACACCAAAGAGTCAAGTTACTGAGACAAGACCACTGGATATTTTTGTTGTTATTCTCTGACCACCAAACAGCAACTCTGCAGAGAGGCATTTCATGAGAAAACAATCATATACAATATAAGAGGAAATATGCAAATTAACCTCACACCCTCACACAAGATGGCCACACCCATGTGGGCACAAAATAGATGCCACAATATGGCCATCAGGGAAGGGTAGTTGTGAGTGATCAGGCCTGCAAGGGAGGGCAGTTGGGAGTGGCCAGGCCAGCAGGAGAGGGGAGTTGGAGGCAATCAGGCCTGCAGGGGATATAGGGCAGTTAGGGGTGATCAGGCTGGCAGGAGAGGGCAATTGGGGGGACCAGGCCTGCAGTGGAGGGCAGTTAGGGGTGACTGGACCTACAGGGGAGGGCAGTTGGGAGTGATCGGGCTGGCAGGGGAGTGGTTAGGAGGTGATCAGCCTGGCAGACAGAAGTGTTTAGGGGCAATCAGGAAGGTAGGTAGGTGAGTGATTAGGAGCTAGTGGTCCTGAATTGTGAGAGGGATGTCCAACTGCCAGCAGTCAGAATCCTCCAAGAGGTCTCAGATTAAAGAGGATGAAGGTTGGGCTGAGAGACACCCTCCCATGCACGAATTTTGTGCACTGGGCCTTTAGTTTAAAATAAGCCTCTAGTAAAGCAACAAGCAGACTGTCAAATTACAGGGGGAAGGGTAAGGAGATCTGGGGGAGATAAGAGATCAACCGAAGGACTTGTATACATGCATATAAGTACAACCAATGGACACAAAACTTTGGGGTGGGGGGGTATGTATGGAGGGGGGCAATGGTAAAATATGTACACAGATAATAATTTAATAAAAAAATACTACTCAAAAACAAAACAAACAAATAAATAAAAAATAAAATTACCTCTGATAAAAAAAATAAAATAAAATAAACCTCTTTCTCTCTTTTACCCTACTTCATTTTTATCCATAACACATCTCACTTTACAGTATATTACTAATTTATGAATAAATATGTAAAACATGAATATATATATAAGTACATATTTACAAATAAGCATATAAAGGATAAAATGTAAGCTACATTAAGGAAAAATGTTTCAACCATTTGCTTTAGAGTAATGTACAGTGAATAGCAAATATATACACAATTAATTTGTTGAATAAATAAATAAATAAATAAGTGGATGTTGCTGAACCCAGAAGTAAACATCTTTCTTTTCTTTTTCAAAGTTAAACAGGTAGAATCCACCTATGAAACAAAAGGCATTGCATTTATATCTATGAAGACAACGTGTATTATGATTGGACAAGGATGGGATGAAAATCTCTATCTGTGAAAAAGAAGTTAAACCTTTGAAGATTTAGGAGGTAAACTACTCCTTGAGGCTTCAGAAAGATTAGACTATTGAATGACTTTTCCTTGGGCAATTATCTGCTAATATAGCACATTTATGAGGATGGTAGAAACACCTATTGTTCCAGAGCACATTGAAGTCAGTGAAAATTCCAAGGTTCATAGTCTTTAGTTTTTTCCCGTTTCTTTAGAGTTTGCATATCAGAGAATGGTATATCAGAATATATTGATATTGTCTTTCCCAACAGGGTGAAGTATTTCTCCATTTCTATCTTTGCAGGATTTTTATTTCCCCCATTTTATCTAAACATTACCCATCATTAATATAATATTTTCTCTTAAGAAGAGGGAAACAAAACATCAACGTGGCTTCTGTTTTCATTACCTGAATAGTCTAAAATTTCAATTTTTTCCTTTTGTTTAAGATTTATCTCTTCTTTTTCATTTCTCACCTTTATAAATAGCAATGAGGTGACTGCAGTGCACAGACCTTTGTGTATCTCTGTGTCAAGTCCAAACAGTCAAATTACTGGCTCAAAGAAAATGTATTCTCTAAGACCTCAAAGAAACATTGGATAGATTTATCCTTGCAGGAAGAATTTGAGTATCATATAACTCTAGAAAAATAAGTGAAAAGCTTTAGATCAGTCTACTTCATCTACTCTAATAAAAGAGAAACATACAAGTTGACTGTACCTCAGCAACACCCATCAGCCAATCAGGAGTGGGTATGCAAATTAACCCAACAATGACCAGGAAGGAGGACTTGAAGACTCCTGGGCAGCCAGGATCGAAGCCAGGGGAAGGAAGGCTTATTCTTGCACAAATCTTCATGCAACGGGCCTCTAGTTTTTAATAAGTAAGTAAAGTAAGGCCTAGAGACTTCTCTAATTTCCTTAATATTAGAGAAAGCACTAAAGCTCATGTTACCCATATATTTCCTGCCCCTTTCTCTGCCTCTACTCCCACCCCCAGTCAGAATACAGTTTCTTCCTCTGGCAAAGGAAAGTCTCACTACATTTGTACTTAATTGCAATGAATTATGAATATTTCTTACTGTGTCTTACCTGTTTTATTTTTAAAACGTATTTCAAGAAAAAAAATGTTTCAAGCTTTATAATAAAAGGTAATATAATTTTCCCTATGTCAATTATCACAACACAAACTTTCCTAAATTTATTCCTTATAGTTCTTTTTTTCTTTTTTATTGTCTAAAGTTTTACATATGTCTCCTTTTGCCCCAATTGACCCCCTCCCTCCCCAGCCATTCCCACCCTAGGCAAGCCCCCATTGCTCAAGTGTCTGTGTCCATCGGTTATGCTAATATGCATGCATACAAGTCCATAGGTTGCTCTCTATTCCCCACCCCCCACACACACCTCTCCTGCCATTTGTCTCTGGATCTATTTTTACTCATTTAAGTTCTTTTTGTTTTTAATTCTGTGGGCACCTATCGCAAGGTGCCCAATCTTTCTTGAAAGTCAATACCAGGCCCGGAGCAGCAGCAGCCAGGTCCAGAGCAACTAGGTCGGGAGCGGCGGTGACCAGACCCGGAGCAGCTGGTTGTGGAACGAACCAGAGCAACAGAAGCCAGGCCCGGAGCAGCCAGGCCCGGAACAGCTCACTCCTCGCCTGCCCCTGCCCCACTGCTGCCTCTCAGACATGGCTGGAAACTTTTGCGGGAACTTGAGGGTCTGCTGAATCAAGTGATGAAGGCTTAGATCTGGATGTGTTGAGTTAGTATAGGACTGGAGTGTTGATCTGTGTTGATCTGTGAGTGCCTTGGGTGGGGCCTGGATGAAGCTGGTTGACCTATTTGGAAATGTCTTTTGTGTGAAATGTATCATTGGGCATGTGGAGGTATTATTGATATGAGAAAATGCTAAGTAACAGATTTACTATCTGAAAAGGGATTTACTATCAGGGAAAGGGAGGGAGGAAGAGACTGAACATAAACTGTGCACCTATGGATGAGGACAATGGGGGATGGGGAGGGGGTGGAGGGTGGGGTGGGAACCTGGTGGAGGGGGGAAGAAATGAGGAACCTTTGTAATAATATGAAAAATAAAGATTGATTTAAAAAAAAATAAATAAAAAGAAAGTCAATACAGGTGTTTTTATTAATAAGCATATTTAGCCTTAGCTGGTTTGGCTCAATGGATAGAGCATCAGCCTACGGACTGAAGGGTTCCAGGTTCAATTCTGGCCAAGGCACATGCCTGGGTTGTGGGCTCAATCCCCAGTAGGGGGCATGCAGAAAGCAGCCAGTGATTCTCTCTCATCATTGATGTTTCTACCGTTCTCTCCCTCTATCTTCTATAAAATCAATAAAAATATATTTTTAAAAAAGAATATTTAACTCTTGTTTTTCACTGAGCAGAACTGTGATTATTTATGAATGAGTTATTAATTTATTCATTGATAGGTAGTGCTTGAACATGTGTCACATGGTTGTCACTACGCTAGGTTTTGAGGACACAGTGAGCATGCTCTTCACTGACTGATCTTGTGCTGGAGCTCAAGCAGAGCGCTTGGACTTTTGCTTCAGTTCTGCATTATTTAAAATAGCTTCATATACATACTCGTCCTACCTTCCTGCCAGAATTCAAGCAATTAGAATTCAGATCCTAACCTAATAGGTACACGCTAAAGAAAGAACTGCCACTTTCAAATATATCTCCCTTTGTTTCAGAGGCTGGTGTGTGTGTGTGTGTGTGTGTGTGTGTGTGTGTGTGTGTGTGTGTTGCAGTGTGGAGAGTAGATATCTAATTACTTTAATTCCCAGTTTTTTCTTCTCTTTCTCTTAGTACCACTTTTTTTTTCTTTCTTTCTTTTTCTATTGCTCTTTAACATCCTGTTTTTAACTTCTCAGGACTCTTTTCAATCCAGAAAAACAGGAAGTGAAAAGTAACAAAAACATTTTGGTGAGCATTAACTCACCTGAGGTTTTCTGGTGATTCATAGTGGGTGCAATTATAACACTGTTGCCATGGGCACAATGTGATTAACAACTTTATTAGTATATATGGAGAAGAAAATATACCTGTGTTTCCAGAAAGCCTGTAGAAATGAGGAGGCGCTGATGAGATATGCTCCAAGCACATGGTATAGAAAGAGGAGATGGGGTTACCAGTGCACTCTTTAGGTTGTGTTTGAGGTAATACCGAGATTGCTCCCGTAAACTGGACTTTGAATAAAATTTATAATTATATATATATTTGTATTATCACAGGGTACTCTCAAGTCTGGAGATCCCTATGGTTTTTCCACAAATTAAAAAGAAAACAAACTTGTTTATGTTTAAAACCTATACTTCTCTCTTAAAACCATGTCTTCCACTTGGTGTTTTACTGGAGGAAGTTAGAAAAAGGGTGATATGATGCATGCAGAAGTGACAGTTCTGTTTTTGACACTTTTTTTTTTGGCTTGGTTTTTACAAAGGTAGTTCACTCAACTTAGTCCTTGCCTGCCCAGATCACCCAGCAGCAGCAGCTCCCGAAAACATCAGTGGGACTGCACAGCACACAAGTGACTGGATTGTGCTTTATTAGTTCAGTAATGCCTGAGGAAGTGACTTACGCTACCCTCAAATTTCCAAATACTTCTCAGTCAAAGAAACTTCTGGAGAGCTGCAGCCTCGAGAGAACAGGTAAGATCCTCTATGCAGGATCCTACTGACCAAAGAAGACATCATTCTCCTATATTGGTGGGTTCTCTCATCTTCAATCTCTTCTAAGGTTCCATCATGGAGTGCTAGTTCATAGAGAAATCGCTGTGCTAGGGCCTTTTTTTTATTTAGCGTATTTACTTTGTGAGATCATGAGTGTGTAAAAAAAGACTCTGGTCTAAGCCTCTGGGAATGCAGATGTTTGATGCACCACGATAGCATTTCTTATACTTTTTTAGAGATTATAGACTATTAGGGGAAAGGGAAAAAAGGAATAGCATGAAGATAACTCTTCAGGATTTTTATCTAACTGCCAAAAGATATAAAATAGACATATGCTATGAGGTTCATAGGATCATCTCACTTTATGCTGTGGTATCATTTTTTTTTCTGAGAAGGAATAAGACTGAAAGGTCCTTATCTCAACATAGTATATTCCAGTCTGTTTTATTCAGCAATTCAACCCCTAGAAAGTTAGAGATAGCACTGAAGCAATAAGAAGATAATTTTGGAAAATATCAGAATCATATTTAATAAAGTGTCTTTAATGGGACACATGATTTCTTGTATATTCTTGAGACTACTTTTGTTATTTATATTTTATTTATGTATTTCAATACATCTGTATATTTTTAATTCATTTTGCTCTTCATATGAAATTATATCTTCTATAAATATGTGGAATTTTTAATTTACTAATTTACCCCCAAATTATCTTATATTCAAATGATGAAGAAAAGGCACTCCATGCAAACAAATCTGATTATAAAATTTTAAATATCAGGTTGGTAGATTATGTGTTAGAGTCAAATGTCCAAACAGAGTCATCTACTCCATGAAGTTTGATGAAGGTACTGTATGTATTTAGGGAGAAGTATTATATCATCTCCATCCAAGCAATATCATAGGCAACTAACATCAAGAGCTTATAAAACTGGAGAAGCAATTCGTGTTCAGTCACATATTTCCCAGTGATTAACAATTGTTATTTAAAAAAGTATGAGAATTTTATTCTTTACATACATTTGGGTAGATTGCTTGAATTTCATTTTTGTGAAGTTTCACAAATGGTTTGTCTATTTACAAATATCTATCATCAGAATCAAGTAGAAACACGAGGGATATCTGAATAGTTAGAAAGAAAAAAAGAGACCAGAGCCAGGAGTGGTTTTTTAAAAACACTTCAACTTTTCCCCTGAAAAGAAAACCATGAAATGCCAGAATTGAAGCTGAATAATGCAGCTGAAAATGGACCAACGAGTATTGAGAGCACAGCTGTGTTGCCAGAAAGCAGAGCCGTGAGAGGTAAGACACATTTGAATAAACAGAGCCACTGGCTCCAGAAAAAAATTAATAAGAGTGTGTGTGTGTGTGTGTGTGTGTGTGTGTGTGTGTGATGTGAGTGTGTGTTTGGGGGGGGGGTGGAGATGTTGAAGCATAAAAATTAGAGATTGCCTTTATTTTATTGTTTTTAAATGTTTTTTATTAATTTTTAGAGAGAGGAAGGTAGAGGTATAGATAGATAGAAACATTGATGAGAGAGGAACATCATTGATCAGCTGCTTCCTGCACAGCCCCCTACTGGGGATCAAGCTCACAAACCCAACCAACCTCACAACCCCATATGCCCTGACTGGGAATCAAACCAACAACCTTTTGGTTTCTGGGTCAACCCTTAACAGCTGAGCCACACCAGCCAGGCTAGAGATTACTTTTAAAAATAAAAGATAGCCAAAACCGGTTTGGCTCAATGGATAGAGTGTCGGCTTGGGGACTGAAAGGTCCCAGGTTCGATTCCAGTCAAAGGCATGTACCTTGGTTGCGGGCATATCCCCAGTAGGGGTTGTGCAAGAGGCAGCTGATCGATGAGTCTCTCTCATCGATGTTTCTAACTCTCTATCTCTCTCCCTTCCTCTCTGTACAAAATCAATAAAATATATTAAAAAAAAAAAGATAAAAATTTTTCAAGAAATGAAGTGAGGATAAACTAATGTTCTTTAGTTATGGGAAACGATCTCTTTTTCTTTCTTTCTTTTTTTTTTTTTTTTTTTTTTTTTTTTTAATGATGTTTCTATCTACCCCAGAGTTTTCATGACATTTTCTGGACCTTTTCTATTTTTATATCATTAAATCTCATGTACTTATTTCCTCCCTTTTAAAAAAAAATCATTTTATCCTTTTGTTACAATTTATGAGTGATTTTCTTAAGCTCTCTTTTAATTTTTCTATCAAAAATATGTTTTTGGTATTTTATTTCAACAAATTCTTGTTTTCTAAAGGCTTCTTTTTATAACACTCTATTTTTTGTGTATATGAAAAATCCTACTTTTCTGATTATTTAAAAAAATTTTATTTTCAAGTCAACCTTATTGAAGTATAACTTAAATACAAAATAATATTCTCACTTTAAATGTATAGTTCATTGGACTTAACAAACATATACCTATATACCACCACCCAAAAGACCCCTGTGTGCCAGGTTGGTGTGGCTCAGTGGTTGAGTGTCAACCTATGTACCAGGAGGTTATGGTTTGATTCCCAGTCAGGGCACATCTCTGGGTTGTAGGCTCTATCCCTAGTAGGAGGCATGCAGGAGCAGCTGATAGATGTCTCTCTCATGAATGTTTCTATCCCTCTATCCCTCTCCCTTCCTCTCTGATTATATATATATATATATATATATATATATATATATATATATTATTTTTTTAAAGACACCTTGTGTACCTTTCAAGTTATCCTAATCACTAACCTACTTTCTATCATCCTGAACTATCATGCCTGGTCTAGAATTTTATATAAATGGATTCAAATAACGTATACTCTTCATTACTGTCTTCTTTCATAAGCATAATGCTTTTGAGCTTCATCCTTGTCGTGTAAATCAGTAGCTAATTTCTTTTCATTGCTGAGTAGTAGTCCATTTCATAGATATGCCACAGTATTTATCTATTTACCTGTACGTGGTTATTTTAGTTGCTTCCAACTTGGGGCTAGTACGATTAAAGCTTCTTTGATGTGCAAGTCTTTGTGTAGGCATTTTTAAGAAATTCCATTAGGTAATTCTACTTGACCCAGGAGTAGAATTCTAGCTTGGATTGGGGCATGTTTAACTTTATAAGGAACATTTAAGAGTGTGATACCAAACCAAATTTGTAGGACCCCAGGGTATATGAGATGGGTTTGTTAAATTGTAGCCTTCACTGAAGAACTCATTGTCAGTATTTGTAGGTTTGCCACCCCTCCTCCCTTCTTGGCCAGTTAATTTTCTGGAGATGAATCCTCCAATACATTGGGACAGACAGTGTTTAATGAGCATGAATAAGAGAAAGTAACCCAAAAGGACCTGTATGCATGCATATGGGTGTGGCCAATGGACACAGACACTAGTGGGGTGAGGGTATATGCTAGGGGATGGGGGTAGTCTGAGAAGGGTCAGTGGGGGGAAAAGGGAGACATATGTGATATGTAATATTACATATAGTAATATGTAATACTTTAAACAATAAAGAAAAAAAAACAAGAGAGAAGGTAACTCAATTGTATGAGATGAGGGAGAAAACGTAGGGTGAGGGGACTCTACCTGTATCTTACATAGTTTTTAGGTACATTTTCAGTTTTCAGGTTCCTTATAGCTCTACATGGAAAGTACAGGTAACACCAATTCATGAAGCTTTAGGGGAGAGGAGGGTTCTTAAGTGAACATCAAGTTGCTTCTTTTGTTTTCTCAATGCTGAGTGCAATGCACAGTTTCTAAGGGCCCACAGTTAGTATAGCAGCTTTTGTGTCTGCTTTCTAAAATTCATGTCGTTTTCCTGAATTCAGGCCTCCCGGTAGGACATTCTGTTCCATTGAAAGTGTGGGGCCCTGTTGTTTTCATTTTGCTAATGCTGAACTTGGCCGTGCTGGCTGGACTGGGAACCCTGATCATAATGAGTAAGTTTCCACTTTTCTCTGAGGCTGTCCCTTGGTTTTATCAGACACATTACATTACTGATACATTTTATTACTTATACTTAACATTTTGGGTACTAACGTTTTCTCAAGAACTGCACATGCAATCTCATTCAACCTTTACCCCAACCATATCCTATAGTTACATTTTTTCCCCTCAATTTCCAGGGCCAGAGTGCCCAAAGTACTTTTTAAATTTTGTGTGGTTATTAAGTGACCAATGGAGAATATTTGATCACATCTCATTTTATTTTACACTTTATAGTTTTAATATCTTTTTTTCTTTCTTTCAAATGTCTATCCCTTGCTATTGCCATATTTTCTTCTCTTCCTTGAATCCCAATCCCTGCAATAATTTATTTAAATATCCATTAATTATTTATTTGAGAATTAAAAGACTTTTTGAAACACTTCGTATTTTGGGAGTGTTTCTTCCCAAGCTTGGATGCTAGCTGGAATGCTCTCCCACTTTCTACAAAGGCATCTGGAGGAAATAGGGGGTAATATTACAATGATTGATAACATTTCTTGAATGCCCTTTCTTGCTGTTTTTGATCTCATTTAATCTTCAGAAAGCTTAACTTTGAAAAATGAAAGATTTTATTAATTTGAAGGACTGCCAGGTAAACTAATATCAGTCTATTGAGAAAAGCCAGATTATGTTGTAATGATACACAAAATAGATAAATTACGAAGCTTTCTAAATCTTTTGGAAGATCTTAAAGGCATGATCTTTGTCTTTCTAATTTTTTTTTTCAATTCTGAGGCTGTGGTTTAAATTTTGGTAATATCTATTCAAGAACCTGAAATCCATAATACATAGGCTCAACAATATATTTTAATCCCTCCTAATCTCAAAAGTGTGGTTTACATTTTTATAAAATAAATACCGAATTACACTGTTTTTTTAAAATTTTGAAATCTCTGTTTCAAATGGATCTTTTTGTTTTGTATTTACACTTACTTAGGCATTTCCTTTAATAAGGAACTAGTGCTCCATTGAATAACTTAAGTCATTTTTATCTCAATTCATTTTAATATTAAAAGTATGAAATGTTGGTATTCAACGTTGGTAGCTATTATTATATTTTTTCCATTAAAATGTTAAATGACTATTATGATATTAATATAATTTATTGAAAGGTTTTGTGTTAAAATCTAATTAACCTCTTGCTATGGATTATAGATTACCAGGAACTCTTCTCCAGCAACAGAACAGTTTATGACAATGACAGGCAACAAAACATAATAACACAGCTGGAGAGAAATAGAATATTATACATGGATATGTATAAAAAATTCTCAAGTGAGCACTTTGCTTTAAAAAATATGGTTGAAAATACATTAAAATCATTGAAAAACTTTACCTCAAAATACGATGAAGTTGTAAAGAAGAAGAAAAATGGTGAGTGAAATCATTTATCTGTTTCATAGTCTCATCAATAACTTAGGGTTGTCTAATTTTCCCCAGCCTTTTCACTGGGTTCAACATCTTTAAATATTTTTGAAATTAAAAAAAATCATGGAAATTTGATAACCATTTATAAATTCTTCTATAAAAAAAACCACTTTCTGTCTTTCTTCACTTTGTTTCATGACACTCTCATGAAAAGTTCAAGGTATTCAAAATAAGGTTAATGAGAAATGAAACTGGAGTGTCATTTGAGTTCCTGTAGATAATGGAGAGGGTTTGGATTCTAACCTGGAAATAATAAGAAAACATTGTATAATTTAAAGCAAGGTCTTATAGAAACCCTAGAGGTCCAGTGCACCAATTTGTGCACAGGTGGGGTCCAGTTGGCCCAGCCCCAATCTGGGTGGATCCAGGCAGGTCTGTCAGGAAAAGACAGTGGGAGGTTTGACTGGTGTGTGTGGGAGCCAATCAGGTACAGAGCTGGCTGGAGGGGGGTGAGTGCTGCAGGCTGATCAGGGTGGTGGAGACTGATTTGAGATGGGCCAGCTTTGGGGAAAGGCTGTGGGCAGTGGGCCAGCCAGCCCCACCCCTGAATGCAGTGGGGTGAATGGATAGGGGGCCAGCAGCCTGGGGGAGGAACTATCGGTGGTTGGCTGGCTGGCGCTGCCCCTGATTGGAGTGGGGGGACCAGTCATGGGTGGAGCTAGCTGGGAGAAGGGGCCATGGGCCATCAGAGTAGTGAGGCCTGATCTGGGCTGGGACTGGGTCAGGGGAAGGGCTGCAGGAGGTTGCCCCTATTGGGGTGGTTGGGGACAATCAGGGGTGGGGCCAGCCAAAGGGAGGGATTATGGGTCGATTGGGGTAAGGGAGACCCACCAAGGATGGGGCCAGCTGGAGCTAGGGACTGCAGGAGATTGGCCAGCCAGCCCTGTCCCCTACTGGAGGAGGGGGGTGATCAGGGGCAGGGCTGGCTGAGGGAGGGACCACAGGAGGTTGCAGCTGGCTCCCCCAATCGGGCGGGTTCACTGGCCACAGTGGGTGTCATAGAGAACGGTTGTTCCAGTCATTACGGCATTCCAGTCATTGGCTTTATATATGTGTGTGTGTGTGTGTGTATACATATATATACATACATATATATACACACACACACACACACACACACACATATATATATATACACACACACATACATATTCACTGAAAACAGTGAAGTGATGAGGTTTCTGTAGAAAATTTAACAGAATAGAGATGGACTAGGGTCCTGTTGCAGCAATTCAAACATACTGAAGTTTTATCTGAGTGCTTTCAAAAATCCCTTACCATTTTTTTCCTGTGTATCTATGATTCCTTTTCTGTCTCACATTGTTTCAGATTCAATCCCATTTCATTTCAGACACATTCTCTTCCTTCTCTCATATTTTAAGCAATCATCTCATGTAAAAATATAACATTTGTAACCTTTCAATATGTACTAATAGTGCAGACGTTTGGAATTCCGATATGTATGCTTAATTGATTGTATATTTATGAATACATATTTTGCATATGTGTGTGCCAGTCTCAAAGACTTTTCATTTGATTTCCAGACCTCAGATTTTGCTCATGTTCAGAGTCATGCAAATGGCATGGAGATAGTGGGAAGAATTTCTCCTCCCTGATATGTGACATTGAGAAAAATGGCAATACAACTCAGGTCTGTGTTATGATTTATGGTATGTCCACAGAAATTTCCTGGCATTGTTAAGGTACAGGTTAGAAGGATTTGAGTGACCATGTTAATCCTTGGCTGTTCCTGGTAAATGGCCTATATGCCCTTTCTGTGTGTCCCTTCCCTCTGAGTTGAGTCATTGGAGAATTCCTAATACCACAAGTTCAAGTAGCAAGGACATACAATGACTAGAATTACCAGTCTATAAAACATATCACAACAGGTAAGTTATGGCTATGTATTTCTTTGGTATTTCTTGTATCCTGTGATTCTTGGTTCTTATTGAACCAGAGAGTAATTAACTTAGTTTCAGTTGTGAGGCATATTTTAATGGACTATTGATACAACTTAAATTATGGGATTCTCTTTCTCCTTTGAGCTGTGGTACATTGATGAAAATCTATAGTCCTGACTAACCCATTTGGTATAATCATACAAATCATTTATCTTGTTTTCACATGTTACAACCCTTCTTAGAGTTATTAAAGTTAAAATACAGATAAATCCATAAAGTTACTGCAACACCCATGATTATTTTGCTATTATTGTTGTTATTAATATTTGAGTGTTGATAAAATGTCAAATTCCTTGCTATAGAATGCTAAAACCCTAACTTTCCCAGCACACTCACTAGTTTGATTTGCTGTAATATATAGCATGCTGCAAACCAACAGATCTTATTATCAGAATGAACTTGAATTTAGTTTATGTCTCTGTGTGATTTTTGCTCTTTATAATTTTACTAGAGGCCCGGCACACAAAATTCATGCATGGGTATGGTCCTTAGGCTTGGCCATTTCCTCGGCTTCCCGCTGCCAGCCTCACCCTCCGCCACAACCCACCCCTAGTTTCCCATTCGCCATTGGGTGATTGGAGCCTAATGGCTGGGATTGGGCCCAAAAAGTCAGTCACTGCTGCCCCCTTGCTCCCCCCCCCCCCCCGCCATGGGTTGCCCTCTGTGTGTGGGGTGACTAGAGGAATGGGAACCTTGTACTGATGCCACCCACATCCTCTGATACCCACCTCTGGTTCCCCATTTGCCATTGGGTGATTGGAGCCTGCTGGCCAGGGAAAGGGACTGAGAGGTGGTCAGTGTGCCTCATAAGGACTGGTCGAGCGGTCATCTGGCCACTCCACTACTAGGGTCAATTTATATATTACTCTTTTATTATACATGATAGAGGCTTGATCCATGGATGGGGGCTGGCTGGCCTTCCCTGATGGGGGCCCCAAATCAGAGTGTGAGTGGGGAAGGCCATGGCGAGGGGACATGGTGGGTTTGCAGGCATACCACACTTCCGTTCAGGGTGGGGCTTACCCATGGAGAGCAGGGCCAGCTGGGGTGAGGACCAGGGGTGGTTTGCAGGTCGGTCATGCCCCCAGTTGGAGTAGGGGTTCCTAATGGCGGACCGAGCCAGCCAGGGCGAGAGGCCACGGGAGGTTTGTAGGTTGGCTGTGCCTCTGATCTGGGTGAGCATCCCTGCTGGTGTGCGGGGCTGTCCAGGGATAGGGGCCACAGGTGGTTTGCTGGCCGGTGCCACCCTGCTGGGGGGCAGGGCCAACTGAGGCGAGCGGCTGCATTGGTTCTGGTCTCTGGTCATTCTCATCATTCTGCCAACAATGATCTGGTGTACGTGTGGCATTCTTATGTTTGGAACTGATATTGAGTGTAAACTAATATGTCAAATTTATGTGATAATCACATGAATAAAATATAATTTTGCTTGAAAGTGAATGGGGGGGGGGTGACTGTAATGGAGATTTAAAAAAAAATTATCCACTCATAATTTTACTAAACATTAATTATTTACCAAACATTTACCAATGATTACCACGTGTTAGATAACAATTAATAGATGTCTCTGGCAAGAGTGTTATAAAGTCACGTGGGTTAATTATTGGTAACATTTTATTATTTTTCAAATATTTCTTGTGCCTACTGAGGTCGGCAACATATACTAAATTCTGGGCATGTAATAATAATAAGCCCTTCCTTCATACATCTTACAGAAGCTTTGATCTAAGGTGAATCAAAAACAATAACTCGAGAATAATGCAAATGGTTATTTTAATGCAATTATATTTCATATATTAAAAAAATAAGTAAAGTGGTCAAGGAGAATGTTAGAGGTAGCTTAAAATCTGAATGAGGAAGAAGCAGTAAAATAAAGCTTAAGCTCCAGATTTTTTTAGAATTCTTTAGAATCTTTGAGGGTAATGGAAGACGTTACTTTTTATATCACTAAAGAAAATTCATAGCATCAGCAGAGTTTTAAAGACATTATTACTTACTTCAGCATAGGGCCCAATGGAGAGGGAAAGATGAAAAGAGTTGGAGAGAGGGAGGCAGTAAATTGGAAAAGAGTAGAAAGGCTAATCTCGAACGAATGGGAACCCATTCCACCGTGGATGCAGAAAATAAAATTGGAACCTCTACAGCTGTAAATATGGGGGTATTTGCAGACTAGGACTTAGCTCATCTGATACCTTCTGTTTCTCCTTATCCTATGCTGAAGGTTGAGTGGTGTTAAGTAGAAAACCTGAGAATAAAGATGGTTTTAATGTTTCACTGAAGGAAAATGATTATGGAGTGGAATTTGGATGACATGAGTCTGGTTCTGTTGTAGTTGAATTAGCTCCCAGTGGGACAAAGGAGCAGTAACTGATGTTTCTTTTGTGTATAGCTGTTCATTAGGTGTCTTCCATCACCTGTCTCCTGGATGCATCTGAATTGTACAGTACCCAAGAAAAAAGAGAGGACAGAATATGAATCAAAATTTTGCATTTTGCCTGTGAGTTAGCCCCTTCTATTTTTTTAATAACAAAGGAATGTCTGCTATGCTAATTTTGGCTATATTTATCTGACAGTCATCCTCCATATATGATTAAAGATGAAAAAAGAGAAGGCAAGAAATTATGGGAACATTTATATATATATAAAAGAAGACCCTTGGAATTAAGAGCACAGAAGGTAGAAATTCAGAAGTTTTGCTATACTTCCTAGCCCTTCCTTTTGCACTAAGAAGTGAAAAGCATAAAAGCAAAATCAAATCATGACCAAGGGTGTTACCCTGTGTGATACACAATAATGTGTCCCTTTGCAGCCAAGAAAATTCTGCTGTGTTTCTACTTTGCATATTGTCTAAGTAAATAATATAAGCTTACATCCTTTATTAAAATATTATGCAAGCATTTTTAAGAGACTTACAGTGAGGGTAACCTTATGCTTTATCACCCAAACCAGAATACTTTTCAGAGTGAAAGGAGGCACTGTAGGTAGTTACATCAAGACATTGGGCATAAAATCAGATGTGTCCTGAACAAGCCAAGGTTACGCATGACCTCTTGGATGAAATTGTGAACAGAAGGCCAAGAGGTAACTTGAAGGTTTTAGAGAGTTGAGGGCTCTTGTGAATTCTCTCACAGTGGTATAAGGAATCACCCTAGCTATTGTTACTTTTTTCTTTTCTTTTTTAACTTAAATAATCTAACAAGAAAATTAAAAAATAAGTTATAGATAGAACAGATTGGATTCATGAAGTAATTGTCCCTTTTTAAGATAAGGGAAACATGCAATCCATTTTTATTCATTCATTTATTTATAAGTTTGGCACCCTTATAAATGTTGCAAATGCTAAAACAGTGATGTAGGTAATATTCAATGGAAATGAAATAATTGGAAAATCTGATGACTCCAGTAGCTAATATTTGTGAAAACAAAGTAGATATGCCACATTTTTTTATCCTAGGTAAATGCAAACTCATAGCTTATTGTAACACCACAGGATATAAAAAGCATTATAGCAGCTGAAGCCATGCACAATCTCAGTATCAAAGGGGAAATTTTGATTGTTTTGTCTCAAAAGATTAAAAACTATATTTCTGTATAATATGATTTTTATTTCCATATATATATGTATGTATATATATACATATATATATATATATATATATACACACACACACATATATATATATATATGGAAATAAAAATAGTGAAATTAATATTATTTAGTACATTATCATTTAAAATATTAGAAACATTAGAATTAAAGTGGTTTATTTCATTTTTTAAGAATTGAATGAAAAGTGGTACAACTTCTTTTGGGGTGGTACAACTTCTTCTGACTAAACAGATTGGACATCTTTTCCACGTCTTAGCAAACTTTTTGTTATGCCTAGATTTTGAGAAAAGACAAATATGACTAGTAAACTTCTTGCTTAGAAATCTCTCTTGTCTCTCAATTACTTAAAGAATTTAGCCCAATTTGTTTGTCATAGCATAAAAGTGCCTTCACTATCTGCTTCAACTATTCTATTCTATTCTATTCTATTCTATTCTATTCTATTCTATTATTCCATTCCATTCCATTCCATTCCATTCCATTCCATTCCATTCCATTCCATTTCATTCCGTTCCGTTCCGTTCCATTCCGTTCCATCCTGTTCTACTCTATTTTATCCTCTTCTACTCTATTCTTTTCATCACATCTAATTCCTTTTTATATTATACACATCATGCTCTGGAAATAATATTTTCACCATTCCTGTCATTGTTTGTTGTATTTCTTTGCAAACTGGCCCATCATTATACAATGTGCACCCCTCTCTTCTAAATCCAATATATTCCCATTTTATTAAAATTGGTAGGAGAAGAAATCCAAATTAAAGTCAACTTTATATTTAAGTGACTGAATGTTAATATATTTCATAAAATGTAATATAAAAACAAGAAACATCTGAGAGATGAATTTGTATTAGAAACTCTATTGAGTTCTATTTTTACCACATGAATGTAAACATTTAAGATTAAATCTAAAATAGAGAGAATGACAGGAGAGAAAGGAGGGAGAGAGGGAGGGAGAGGAGAAAAATCTGGAGATATACATTTTGAGCCATCAATGTGTATGTTTATTAAATATTTACTTAATAAAGTGTGTCACTCAAGTGTACTCCTCTCTCTTAATCTCTAGAGCAAACTTTTTATCTTCCCAATTGGGAAGGTTTTTTTTTTTTCTAATTAATCCAAAACAATAAACAACATCAAACTCAATTAAAACTTCTATTTTTTCAGTGAAGAAATATGGGAAACATTTCCTATTACAACTTTACCACTTTTCCTAAGAAAGCCAAATAATTTCCAATATAGAAACTTTATTCTTCCATATGTCACATTTAGCTCACTCTATGTTATAATCATCTCTCATCACTGATGATCAGTTTTCCAATGTCTCCTCCATCTTTTTTTTTTTTAAATGTATATTTTTTAATTTTAGAGGAGAAGGAAGAGGGAGAGAGAGATAGAAGCATCAGTGAGGAGAGAGATTCATTGATCAGCTGCCTACTGCACAACCCCAACCAGGGACCTAGCCCAAAACCTGGACATGTGAGCTGACTGGGGATTGAACCATGACCCCCTGGTTCATAGGTTGACGCCCAACCACTGAACCACATCAGCTGAGAAGGCAGGGCGGAGTTATCCTCCATTCTGTAATTGAACCCTAGCCCTCACCCAACCAATCAGGGTTAGCAGAGGCAGTGACATCACCACCGACCGGAGTAAAACCCCTGGACTGGGCATAATCCGCTCTCTCTTCCGCCATGCTGCTGGTGTGAGTGGGACAGAACCCATACTAGCACGGAAAAGGCTCTTTTGTTTATTGCATCGGACTCGGCTCCCTGGTGGTCCTTGGGGATCACAAAGTCTGGGCGTAACACAGCCAGGTGGCCTCCTCCATCTTAATGTCTACTTATTAGGTTAATCATATTTCTTTTTAAAATCATAAAATGTCCAATCCCTAATTCATGCATTTTCATTGATATAGCCAGATTCTTAGCACATTTTTTATAAGGTCTTTAATTATGCACCATGACATTAATACATAGAACTTATGCCCAATATGTGTTATGCAAATGTACACGATCTAAACACATGATCTGTTTACTCTTAATCTATTTGTGCTATTTAAATAGTAAACCAGTTTAAGATAACCCACACTTCTGTAACCTTTTTCAGTTATTCCCTACTTTCCATTCCATTTACAACACTAGTGTAAATAATTTTGATGTCTTCTGTTCCCTTTTCTCTTCTCCCAGAACATTGTGTGTCTATCTGCTACATAAAACTCTTAATTGTATATTGAGAAATATCTCCAATGTTATTTATTGTGAGCCACATTGCTTCATAAAATAACTATAATGATTACTTTCTCCAAACCCACAATATGCACACACACACACACACACACATATATCTTGCATTGAAACTTTTGCCTATGTTTCTCCTTGCAAGTTTAATATTATATTTTACATTTGCCAGATTAATTCCTAACCATTATTCCACACCTAGTGCAGGTGATTTCTTGTTAGTAGAACACATCAAAATCATGTAACCAATTAAAATCAACTTCAGTCAAATTATTAATTGGCTAATAGTTGAGAGAAGATACATAGTGGTGATGTCTTGAAGTAGCAGCAGCAGAAAGAAAGAAAGAAAGAAAGAAAGAAAGAAAGAAAGAAAGAAAGAACCATATAACTTTATTATAGTTCACTCTTAATTTCTAAATAAATAAGCTTTTTTTATACTTTAATTTTGCCTATCATCCAACCATTGCAGGCAAGCTGTTTATTGATTGTGAACAAGCATCTGAACATAGCTTTGAATGCTACTATTGAATTCTCAGAAATGAAAAATGTAGAGCATGGGTTTCTGCTCAGCCCCAAAATATGTCTGCTGTAAGCTTGCCTCACTCAGACTTAATAGAGTCCTTTGGAACGACTTCTGGTTTCTCAAGAAATGATGTTCTAAAGATGGAGGAAACACCCTTGCTCAAGTGTTGTAATCTTGTGTGAGATTAGCACAGAGGATGTCTTTAATGACTCAATCTTTTTTTTTTTTTTACACCAAATATCATATCTTCCAATTTCCCCATTTAGACTACACATGAAACTTAGAATAACTGGAGAGGAAAATAAGAGAATATTTAATATTAAATTGAAGGGGAAGATGCACACAAAATTTCCCCACTCCCTCCAAAAAATGTGCATTGCTTTCAAATATAGTAAGTGGAAAAATTAATTTTCTTTTGGGCACTAAAAATACAAAATTTTCATGTAGGTGATTGCAAAAAGTTAGTTCCTTTTCTTTTTTATGGTTTAAAAAAGTGTGCACTTAAGTTTTCTATTGAGCATCTTATCGTCAATAGGTCAAATATTTTACCATGGATATGGTTTGCAGAAAAATATACAGTTATTTTTTTCTGAAAATTATATCTGTCATTTAAATTTTTCCTTTATGGCTATTGCAATTCACAGCTTTTACTCTAAAATTCTTACGTTGCATTCTCTGCTGTATACCTTTCAGTTATATGTTGGGGTTTTGGGGCTTCACATGGACATAAATCTAAAAATTCTATTACATTCATGACTACTCAATGGGAGATCGGAAGAATTGCTCAGCACAAGTCTTTTTTCTAAAGAATTGAGTGATAACAGTTTTAAAAATTATGCCAAGTTTTAGTGAAGTAACAGAACAAAAATGACCTGAATGTAAGAAAAAAAATATTTTCCATTGTTAACTTTGAATTTAAAACCTTGTCTTTTGTCCTTAAATCACGTTATCCTTCCTTCTTTCATAAGGCATAGAATAATAATTTCAAAAAAGGTAGAAGACAACATGTGAAAATTATTGATGAGAAAGAAGATTACAAGGCCAATCTGAAGTTTAAACCAGAACTAAAGATGGAAGCATAAAAATCATGTTTTTAAACTTTGCTAAGAACCTGCCAAGATAAGAAATAAGACCTGAAAAACTTCTGTAATACAATAGTGAATTCAATGAACAAGAGTTTTCATTCTCTGTATTGACCATGTTTTCCCAGTTTGTTTACCATGTATTATGTTCTAATGTGTTCTTTGAAATAAAATGCTTAATGTTGCAGCTTTTCTCAAAGTATTGCTACTTTTATTTTTCATTTAGATTTGAATCTGAAGCTTAGCTTCATGTATTAGGTGAAACCAGGGTCTACCTCTAATTTTAAGCCTTTATAACTAGAGTTCTACCATGTTGTACCTTTGAAACAATACACCAAAGGACGGAGAAGAAAATGATGCTAATGAAAAAATTACATTTGTAAAGCACTTTACATTAAAAACAAGTGATCAGATATTTCCTTTTTGTCTCACATGTACCTTATGATTTGCATAGGTTATCATTCTAAGTCTCACAGTTAAAAAGAAATTGAACTTTACAATTTAGGTTTGATGTCTAAGGTTGTATTTAACACATTATGAAGCCAAAACGTTATCATAATTCAATTATTCTTGCAGTCAACGCTCTTTTTTTTTCATTATAGTACATTAATATGGGTCTTATATAATGGGAATAAATGAAGGACCATGACTATATATATCATTCCATAATTCTATTTATTTAATAGAAATAGATATGGTTATACAATTTTTTAAAATGTCAAGAAAATATTTTATTAGAAAGTTCTAGGACTCACTCAGTGGAGGTCCCTAGTCAGTAAATTAATTTATCGCCCCGCTTTTTATTAATTGGTTACAATTGTCTTTATTAGTGGAAAGATGAAAATTATGACAATAGTGGTTAACATAAGATTAAAGAGCATCAATAGTTTCCAGGTTGGCAAACCCATATTGTTCGTATGGAAAATAATACAATAATTAACAAATAATAATACAATAATAAACAGTGTTTCAGGTATTCACAACTGTAAACCTACTTTTACCTCATCTTGTATTTTCTCCTTTTGTTATATATTTACTCTTGAAGGCCTTGTCTTTAGCATGGCTTTAAATAGGAAATACATACACTACTTATTTTTTTTTATTTTTAGCTAGGAATAAATGGACCTG